CTTACTTATCGGTCATAGGGTGCTTGAACTACTTAGCAATCGCCACGAGACCTGATTTGACGTACGCGACGAATTTTCTAGCCAGATTTTCAGCACGACCTACCCGACAACATTGGGTTGCCATACAAGGGGTATTACGTTACCTGCAAACCAATGGATGTGTAAAGCTGAAGATCAAGCCTTTGAATGATGAAGTTAAAACCGGCTTACACACTTACGTCGACGCAAACTGGGGTGGAGAATACTCACGTTCGGTGCATGGGTTCGTTACTTTTTTCCTCGGTTGCCCATTATCATGGACCTCCAAACGTCAAGGTTGTGTAGCGACATCCACATGTCACGCAGAGTACATGGCATTGGGGACAGCGGCAAGGGAGGCAGTGTGGTTAAGGAATCTAGTGAGTGATGTGATAGGAGCTATGGGGCCGGTCAGTCTGTTTTGTGACAACACGTCGGCAATCCACGTCTCAAAAGACAACTCATCTAACCAGCGGACCAGGCATACGGATCGAGAGTTCTATTACGTGAACGAGCAACTCTTCAAAGGAACTGTCACGCTTCATTGGATTGACACAAAACATCAAAAAGCGGACATCTTGACGAAAGCTCTCGGGCCTCAGCTATTTGCTCTAGGAAAAAAGAACCTCCAGCTAGAATGAGAATCACGTGGCATTTCATTTCATTTTTAATTTTTTTCTTTTGTTTTGCTTTGTTATTGGGGTCGCACTGTTTTATGTTTTCTTTCTGTTTTTTTGTTTTCTTTATTTCTCTTACTTTTGTTGGGACCTTTGTGGCTTGTCGTGGGGGGGGTGTTGTAGAGTGTTGTGTGTACACGACTGCGCCACAGCAGGTCACGTGTTAGTTGTACAGGCTGGCGTAGATATAGTCTCCTCGTCCCGGCATCGGCTTCCACATCATCATCACTGTTGGAGCCGACGCCGTAGGACTTGAGCTAACACCGCCGGTCGCCTATCTGTTATAGGTAATGATATCATCATCACTGTTGGAGCCGACGCCGTAGGACTTGAGCTAACACCGCCGGTCGCCTATCTGTTATAAATTTGTCATATGTTTATCTATCACAGCTGCGCCTCTCTTTCTTCAAGAGGAGATGAGCAACATTTTAAGTCGCATATGATTTCTCATATTACCTTTGTTCAAGAGCTTTTCTTTGCTGCTCTGATTTTCATTGGATGATGGATTATCCATTGTTGACTTCATCCAAAAGCATACCTTGCACCATCATCAAAAGTCTTCGTGATTGTTTACAGTTGTTGTTTGTTGTCCATCCCTCGGTAGCTCTTTTGTTGGGTTTCTTTGTAAAATTCTCACCAGTTTTTTTGGTTGTTAGTTAATCCGTTGTTGTCAGATTCCTAGCTCCACCCTTGAGAAACCTTAGCCTCGTCTTGTTGTGGGTCCAATTCTATATGCTTTGACAGTAATCGTTGGCCTTTTTGGCCAGCAAGAGGAAAATATTTACGCGTGAAAATGTTGAGGCCGCCCCAGATTCCCGACCTATGCGTTGTCCAATGGCATCTTTACCCTGGCTGGTCAAGGTTCAGGAAGTGGCGTTAGACCTTTCCTAGTTGCGAATACTCCAATTGCGAAGCCCATGGTCGCCTTCTCACAACTACCGTTGCACCAGAGGGTCAATCAACCAGATATTATAGGGGTGAGGCTCGAGGCGCAAGTTCGGCTCAGTCAATATAAATTCATGACTCGTGTGATTTAGTGGACAATTGAACCTCCATAATCCCAAAATCATTCAAAGCTTTAAACATGGCGTACAATTTACGGTCGAAGAAAAACATGAAGTCCAGCTCTAATCCTTCGATAGGATCACCTGAAGCTTCACATTCCATTATTTCACTTTCAACTCCGCCTTCACACACTGACATACAAGAGGACCTGTCATCCATGCCCGCTGAGATCAGGGAGACAATTCTTTACTGGGTTTATGTTTATAATCTTCCCTCAACCCATCAAAACAATCAAGATCAACGGACCAATACCACCCACAAAGAAGATGATGACGAAGATCGGCAAATTCGACGTTTGCAAAAATTCCAAAAATTAACCCCCAGTCAGTAAATTTGCTTGATAATTCCGTCACTCTATCCACCTTCATTTACAAACTCTATCCACCTTCATTTTGCAACAGTTGCACAAGCATTGCCTTTTCTGCTTATGCGTCAAATGCCACTTTCATGTGTGATTATTCACTCCGCTGACAATGCTACACATTCTTACACTTCCACAGGTCTTCCTTTGAGTGACATCCGATCACTTGCCTCGGTCAATCGTGCCTTCTATCGCGCATTCTCTCCTTATCTTTTTAAGGTGAACTTTTTCTCTTGCCATCATCATATCCTCACCATCCAGTGGCCGATAAAATCCTCTTTTTGCCCATTCTAGGCCTTAGATTTCCAGGGTTTCACGGTAGATAGATTGAATCGCACACTCGAAGACTCCATCACAAGACATTCAAATCAAGTTAGAGAGTTACGGTGGAGACTTTCAGACTCTCAATCGGTTGCAGAGGAGTGTGAAGAGTTATCGAATTGGAGTAGATATTATTATGATCCCATTTGGACTCAGCAGTGGGATCCTCGGTCACGATCTGAAATTTTACTCCAACTCCTAAAATCCTGTCCGCGCCTCACGCATATTGATAGTGATCTTGATCCGCAATCTTCTATCCCTATCAGGACTCCAGAAATATTGTTTCCAAACCATCAGCTAAACGACGAAACCTCATCTGCTTATCCTCACACGTCAAATCTACTTCTTCGACCCATCTCTCAACTTACTTCACTAACTCACCTTTCACTAAATTCTCCAAGTGAGCGACCACCCTACACAGAAGCCTTCATAGTGGATATTCTCTTCAACCTTTCTCAACTTCAAAGTTTCTCTTGTTCAAGGATTGCTGCTACTCATACATCTTCTCAAGACAAACCACGAGCTAGCCAATCTCGCCAATCTCGCCAATCTCCGCTTGGCCTTCATCTTGCATCACTTCCTCATCTTGTTCAAATATCTTTTGACAATGTACAATGTTTGAATTCCAGTTGGAATTCCTGTGATTGGACAAGTTCATTGAAATCAGTATCATTGGTAGATTGCAATCAAGTCTCAATATCGGTCTTACATGAATTCATCAAACTTTTTAGCTCAACATTAACAACCCTTATATTTGATAACCTCTCTCTTCACAACTATAGGAACTCAAAATCAGACTTGCTCCTTGAAGGATTAACAGATCATCCGTTTGAATTACCCAGTCTGATCAACTTAGAAATCTCGAGCTATCCACTTATCCAAGTCTTGAGAGCTTTTCAACCTTCCAAAAACCTTGCCTGGATGTCATTGGGTGGCAATCTTTATCACACGCATCAAGATTTGAAAGATTTAATTGAAACCAATTGTTGGCCTAACCTGAAGAAGTTCGAGATTACACGTGACGCTTGTTTTCTTTCTCATACAGATATCGAAGGTTTAGAAGCCATGTGCCAGCAACATAAAATCAAGATGATATTCAATGGGGAAGTTCATGGTGAAGAGGAAGAGGAGGATGAACAGGACAACGAGGATGAGGATGAAGATCATTATCATGATCATTATGGCATGCCCACTCAACAACAAATTTTGGAGGAATTTTTTTATGGTGGTGATGATACGGATCCTGAACTGGAACAATATCATGATGATGGTCCATGTTGTCTTTCTTCTTGCTGTTAACACTGATCATGGTCAATATTATGCAATCTTCTTTCATATGTCTAACTCATTCAAACATATGCATGTAATTCAACAAAATGCATGAGAAGCCACATGTTCACCCTTCTCATGTCTGTCTTTGCTTGCTTCCATTTGAATGTATTTCTGAAATGGGTGAGTTGAGGAAGAGTACAGTATCACTTCAAACGATATTACTCTATTGGCAGGGGGAAGGGAAGAATGCATTTTTCCAAATCCCATGACTGGTCATATGTACATACTTAACTTTCCCCCTTGCTTAGCTACTAAGCGAGAATCGAGCTAGGAAGTCGTTTCTTAGAGTGATGTGATGTGGTGAACAAAGACGACCCATGGTTTGTTGATCAATCATAAAAAGCTCCAGGATGTATAACTTACGCTCGAATAAAAACTTGAAGAGGAAATCAAATCCATCAATAGGATCAACTAGCAAAACTGCCCGTTCAAAAATGACAACAACTTTAACTACGACTTCACCCAATCATGGAACTCCAGAATCTATGCCAATTGAAATCAAAAAAAAGATTGCTTACTCGGTTCATCATCCTTCAATTCAACAAAAACATCCGAAGAAAAAGCCTGGTTTATTTCTAAGTCAAGATGACATTGATGATGATGATTTCGGTGTTCGAGGCCTTCGGAGAATTTACCAAACAGGGCCCAGTCAGTGGATTTGCTTAACAATCTCACCAATCTGATACTATACACTTTCAATCAACCAATTTTTCATACCGGGCTAACAACACCACATATTTCTCAACTTCCAAAGGTCTTCCCTCGAAGGATATTCGATCACTTGCCTCTGTTGATCGTTCATTCTATGAGATATGCTGTACTTATCTTTTTGGGGTATGTAATTAATTGAAGTATGACTGTTTAGGTTATCTAATCTCTTATTTAAATCCTTTTTCATACTTGATCATATGATCTCATATACATTAGTAATTGTTCGTTATGATCTCATATGCTGTGTGTGCTGTGTTATGTCGTAATATGCTGTGACCATCTCATAGTGAGGATATCGGTATATATAGAACTAGTCTTTCGTCTACTTTGTACTTTTCTTCTTTACCGAATTTTCCTTTCACTTCGAGCAGGTTTGCTCTTTGCTCTTTCGGTCACTGAGATTAACATCTCTCTAGTTTTACTAACTAGCACATTACCTCCAGGTTATTATTGTTCTCTTTATTTGTTTGCTGCTCTTGTGGTGTTAATATAATTCTTACCGAATTTTCCTTTCACTTCGAGCAGGTTTGCTCTTTGCTCTTTCGGTCACTGAGATTAACATCTCTCTAGTTTTACTAACTAGCACATTACCTCCAGGTTTGCTCTTTGCTCTTTCGGTCACTGAGATTAACATCTCTCTAGTTTTACTAACTAGCACATTACCTCCAGCTTCATAACCAACTCGCAATTTAATTGATGTCTGTCATCATCATCACATCCTCGTGATTGAGTAACAAATGGTTTTGTCCCCATTCCAGGATTTCAATTTCAAAGGTTTCGAGGTAGATAGAGTTAACTTCACATTTGACAACATCATTAAAAAACATTTGGATCATGTTAAATGGATCAAGTGGAATGTTCCCAAACAGATGCCAAACTTATCTGTGGAACCGATCTCTCGACTTACTGGACTTACTCATCTCTGTTTAACATCATCTCCTATGGTCCTGGACAAACACTCTTACACCGAAAGATTTATAGTAGACCTGATCTCTAAACTTCCAAGACTCCAAAGTTTCACTTGTTCGGAGATTGTTGCTACTCATCCAAACCCTTGGGATGGTACAAAAGATGGTCCAGATTCTCACTCTCCACTTGGAATTCATCTCGCTTCACTCACTGATCTTACTGAATTAGAATTAGAAGAAGTACAATGTTTGGATGCAAGTTGGAATCAACATAAATGGAGTTGTTCATTGACGTCGTTATCATTAATAGATTGTGAACGGGTTTCAGCATCAGTCTTACATGGTCTTGTTAATCTTTTCAAATCGAGCTTAACAACACTTATATTTTATAACGTTGACCTTCATTATCGTCCTACTTTGAAATCACAATCAATTCTTGAAGACATCAAAAATGATAATTTTAAATTTGAGTTACCCGGACTGACCACCTTAGAAATCTCAAGCTGCTTACCACTTCAATTCTTGAAATCTTTTCGACATTCAAAAAATCTTTCATGGCTCTTAATAAGTGATAATACGTTTTACAAGAATCAAGATTTAGGAGACATCATTCAACTTCAACTTTGGCCTAATTTAAAGACATTTGAAATCAAAAACGGATCACCATTTCTTTCTTATAGAGAAGTTGAAGAACTCAAAGTTGTTTGTCAGCAACACACAATTGAACTGGTTGTTGATAGTTTTTTTTATTTTGATGAGTATGAAGTTCCTGATCCTTATTAGTGAGGGATGAAGATGAAGAGGATGATTATGTTGCTTTTGAGATGTTCAATTCAGAGAAAGAGTCATGGACAATGGCGAGGCATTGCATTTGGTCGATGGCTGGGATACTGTTTACATTGTATAGATTTGCTCCATGATGTTTCCCTTTTCAAATTGTCCTCCTCATGCAAAGACCATGACCTCGGGACATGGTGATGAACACTTCTTGAAGATGCTGTCTGAACATATGTAGACAGTTGGTAGGAAGAAACTTTTCAAAAGGTTCTCCGCAATGGTTGATTGTTGCGAAGGTAGGAAATGTGAAATTGCAACGCGCATCAGCGCGCATGATCGATCAAGTTGAAACTTGACCTGGCAGGACCTGGCCCCTGGGAAAACGCTTTCTATGTCGCCAGCTGATGCGCACGTAACACCGCAGCAAGATCCGCAGGGAAGTCGATATCAAATCGCGAAAGACGTATCGGTGTTCCCTAAAGCAGAAGGTCTACGTTCCTGCTGAGGTTTTCCGGCGGCTGCAAAGGAAGGAAACCATTCAAGGAGGACTTGGAGGAGACCTATCCCAAGTTCTTCCCTGAAGTCTACTTCAATTTATATCCTCAAGTTTTGCTTTCGTCCATTCGGTAGTTTGCATCTCGTAGCAGGCGACCATCTAAACCAGACTCACTCGATCGAACTCATCGGATTTGATTATCTAAACTTCAATTTGTACAAGGTGGCGATAATTTATGACCACAACAGGATCGATATCACAGAAACTCAGTCAAAACTAGAAGAAAAATGGTGTACGACTTACGATCGAAGAAACACGCGGCAGAGAAGTTAAATCCATCGATGGGCTCATCCAAACCTCTGCCTTCAGAGTCACTTTCAATGCCACCTTTGGACATCCCCAGCAATCTATCATCTATGCCAATCGAAATCTTAGAATTAGTAGTTTACTGGGTTTATAATCTTCCTTCAACTCGTCAGGAACCTCAAAAAAATCCAATATATCAAATGCATGAAGAACACAGGATTCGTACCTTTGACAAGAATTATCTTCGCCTTCGTCAAAAATTTCGGCAAAAGAGTGATAGTCAGTAAAATTGTTTAAAATGACCAATTGCAAACCATCTCACCATTCGCATTGACTGACCCACATATCTTCTCTCTTGTCAGGTCTTTCCTTGCTTGATGTTCGAGCACTTGCCTCAGTTAACCGTCTATTCTATCGATTGTGTTGTCCTTCTCTCTATGAGGTAAGTTTATGGTTTTTCACATAAATGTTGCCTTCTTCTCATGATTAAGTGACGGGTGGATTAACTTTTCATCCCCATTCCAGTCCATCAATTTAGAAGGTTGTCTGACCTCTGCAATGTATTCCGCATATATGGCGATCATCTCAAGGCATTCGGATCATATTAGAAGGATCTGGTGGAAAGCTTCCATGTCAGAAAAACAGGCACTGAGAATGTATTATGCACCAGCTCCTTTGTACCGAGATCCTAAAACCCAATTTAAAATCTTACTCAAAATCTTAAGATATTGTCCTCAGCTCGTCGATGCCGATTTGGTTCTTGATCAGGCACATTGGATTCTTACTGAAAGTTCCGATACACCTGATCCACTAAGCGATCTGTTGACTCCTGCGTCCCCTCAGGACGATTCCTCGACATCCCCTCAACATGATTCTACAACATTATCTGATGACGATTCCTCGACATCATCTGATGACAAATCTCCGACATCATCTGATGACGAATCTCCGACGTCATCTGATGACGAATCTGCGACATCATCTGATGGCGATGGTTTGACACTATCTAGTGATGATATCATTCAATTTGAACGCTTGCATTTCACACAACCTATCACCCAACTCCCTTCACTCACAAGCATCTCACTGGTTTCTCCTGGTGACCGACCGCCTTACGCAGAGCAATTCGTAGTAGACATCATCAAGAATCTGTCTCAACTCCAAAGTTTTACGTGTTCAAGGATTGATCATGTCTATCTCAAGCCTCGGTACATTGAAGAAGTCGTGCAGCCCTGTAGATCACCACTTGGCCTTCATCTTGCTTCACTTACTCATCTGGTTGAATTAGACTTGGACAACGCAGTTTGTTTCGACTTCACTTGGAATCATCTTGATTGGAAAAGCTCTTTGACAGATTTAGCCATAGTAGATTGTCCTCATGTCTCAGTCTTTGGTTTACATGGATTTGTTAAGCTTTTTGAATCAACCTTAACCACGCTTAAATTAGTTGGCGATCCTTATCATCACGATGGCCCTCTGAATTATGATCACATCCTTGAAGATTCATCAGGTTATAGGTTTCCATTCCAATTACCTAACCTGACCGAACTTACAATCGCAAACCACTTATCCATCAAATTCTTACGAGGTTTTCATCTTTCAAAAAACATTTCAATCATTTTATTAGGTAGAACTCCTGGTTACAAATATCAAGATTTGAAAGAATTAATACAAGTTCAATATTGGCCCAATCTGAAAAAGCTTCAGATTACCAATCATGCCCCTACCCATCTTCGTAGAAAGTTTGCCTTTTCTCGTAGAAAGATTTTAGACCTTGAAAACTTGTGTCAGGAGAATGGAATTGAAATGAATGTTATTCGTGTTAAGGATGATGATGAATATGATTATCCTTCTGATACTGATGACGATCAACTTTCAGATTTCGACAATGCTATCTTCGGGATGGAGTAATTATTGGACCATCAGCGTTTGTGGCGCTCAGATAGCTGATACTACATCTGATGGATGTTTGGATGGGGTATGATATGTATAATGGTTCAGATAATGGAGTTAGCTTTCATTGTCTTGATAATCAGTTGTAAGGTTGACATCATCCACACTCTGGAATGCAATTCAAATGCCGGTATAAGGAGTTGTGTAACATGTCAGGGTCAAGTTGGAGTTTTCCGCTTCATTTTTTGCATGGTTCAATTGACTTCATATCTTGTTGTTGAGAGAGAGAAGATGTCTATAGATGTACTGAGCTAAGGTATGCTACGGTCCACTTTGATCAGTGATATCACACCATGAACTAATTCGAATCCAGCTCCAGGACAAGGACTCATTCAATATGATAAAGGGCCTCCTTTTGTCTGCCTTTTTGAGTTGATCAAATTCCCTTATATTGTCAACAAGGTCAGGGGTGCCAAGCGACGGCACGCTTCCTGACGGAAATACCCATTCTTGATCTCCAGGGCGCGAAAGGTGCGATATGTGCGATGCACAGTACGGACGCCCCCGGGTGCCGCACCCTACTTGAATTTCATTCCATTACGTCAATAACAGACCAACATCAATTCTTTGCTGTTGACCATTTTGAATGCTGACCGCCAGACCAAATTCAATTGATAACTCATTCACCACCACTTTCATCATCAGCGCAACTTGCTCTCCAATCAAACCTGACGAGCAAATTACAAAGTCAAAGGATTTGAATCATGCCAGAGGCGAATGGTATTCGAGCGAGTCTAATTTGCGAAGGATCCCCTTTAACTGAGTATCCCTATTCATCGTCAGCGCCCTGCACGGCCTGGTGCGAATCGTCACCGGGCCAGACGTTTGTGGTCGAGCTCAACGGACCAATCGCGACGTCAGATTATTCGATCATGCTGTATTGTGATGGTGTCTTCATGAAGAGCTATGCAATCCCTTGTCATACTAGTCTTTCATCAACTTTTCAAGGTCTCTATCTGCCCGAAGATGGCACCAAGCTATTGCCCTTCACATTTGCAAACATTGAGCTTTGTGAAGAAGTGGACAGTCACCCGGACCAAATTGTCAAAAACCTTGGCACTGTGTCTGTGGAGCTTTTCTATTGTAACTTTGGTAATATTAGACCAAATACTAACACCAGTCTTCCAACCGTTGCTTCGACAATCAAATTTTCGGAACGGGATATGAGGACAAGTATGATCCCACATATCATCAGGTCAGCCACCCCTCCTACAGATTTTGACCATCAAGTAACCCTCTTCCGTCATTTGGAACTGGCTGACTCGAATCTTGATCGCAGCTTAGGAGAATCAACTACTGCCCCAAGACTGCGATCAACAGTCACTTGGGAGGTTCATCAGGTCGATCCCATACCCTGTCTGCGATTTGTTTGGCAGTACAGACCTCGTGGTAAGCTTGAAGTAACTTGACGGCTTAAGTTTATCATTTTATCATTCAAGGACTCAAATCTTGAGACCGATAAGTGTTGCTTTGCTTTGATCCTATAGACTTTTTAATCACCGCAGGCGTCATTCCGCGGGATGTCAGTGATCATCCAACTCCTCCAGTTACACATAAAAATAACGAAGCAAGATCAGTCCAGGTATCAGAACCCCGCGTAAAGGAGCGGTGCGGTATCAATGCAGGTGGTGACATGGTACCTGGACCTTCATCAAACACAAATCAATCCGAAGTCAAGCCTGAAGTCAAGCTACAGAAAAGTGGTAGCAAGCCAGTTGTGATTGATATACGCAATGACCAAGAAACATCTGTATTCTTTTCAAACCCTAACCTTCTTGCTGAGAACGAGGATGATGATCCCAGAAATTCATCATCCGAAAATTTTACTCAAGCTAGTAGCAGTTCAACCCATCAGATTCAAGTCAAACCTGTGAATATCAAGTTAAAGACAGCTGGTGGTGGGCAACCCAATCAAACAAAACGAGTCCAAGCCGAGACAGAAGTTGAAGAAAATGATCGCAAACGTGTCAAGTTGAAAATGAGATCTGCCACTCTATATGACTCGGATGAGACTTTGCAGGATGAAGACTCGCTTTGACATTTTCATCATTGCAGTCTAACACCTCTTTCATCAAAAGAAAGCATTGGACGAAGAATTATTCAAGATTTTTAAGATACGGAAAAGCCAGTACCATTTTGAATTTCGTTGACTTTCCAATTCATTTCAAACTCACCAGTGAATTGATTTCCTAGATTTTTTTTGTACTCGTCAACTTTTCGCCAGTCTCAGCAAGCTTTGCATTTCCTTCCTTGTACAATTATCAGTCCCAGTTAAACTACGCAGCAACGCTTCAAACCTTAAAGCCCGGATCAAGTGATCTCAATGCATTTTCTCTTCTTTCTTATCAGTCTGATTGTTCATATTCTACAAGGTTTGCATTTGTATGATCGTTTTTGAATTGTATTCCTTGCCCGAGTTTTTCAACATCTCCATGAAAATTCGATGGTGTCATCTTTTGTTTTGTTTGTTTTCAGCATTATATATCTCGCAGCAGATTCCAGACTTCCCCTATGGATGATTCCAAGGTGGACTAAAAATAGCTTTTGCCTTGATCCACATTGTTCATCGATTCGCGGCTCGTGGTGAGGTTGCCAGACCGCTGGACAGGGCAGAGGCCCTGGTCTCGTGAAATCAACCCCATGTGAGGGCAGGTGGTGAGCTCGGGGTATGCCTATGAAGCGTCATTGTTTGAGGACAATCCCCAGTGAAGGGCAATCCTAAGTCCCTCCACCCACCCCTTCCCCAGATTGGGAGTGTTATACAATACGGCGAAGGAATGACAGCGGGGTCAAAGAAGTAGAATGATTTCTTTCAGCAGAATGTATCATATCAGTTATCTACCAATTTTTTTGTGTAAAAATTGAGCAAGTTTTCTCAGTTGCTTAGGACATCATGACTCATTGGTGGCTTTTGTGATCATTGTTGTCACAACCAAAAACATGCAAATAAATACTATTGTTATTTTCTTTGCGTGGTTACAAGTGGCACTGAATTATTTTTATTGCTGCTGAGCAGGTGTTCTCATTTCCTTTAATATCTCATCATTTCTCACCCATCTGTGCTTGCCATTGGTAGTTTGACAAGACTTTTCTGCCAAAAAGTTTTGAGGATCCCTGGAGTGACACTCTTCCTTGCTTTGTAGAACAACAAACTTGACAAATGAACCAATCTACATCCAGATTAGGATCATATCAACCAAGGACTTGGCATAACTCTATATGAACAATGAGAAGACCACTGAGAAAACAATACGGGAATTGAAATGAGATGATTGAGTAAAGGAGAAACAATCCGTGAATCTTAAACCTCAAGATCTAGAACCGGAGGAAAAAGATTTAGGGTTCTGATAGTAGTACCAGCAAAGACATCCAATCACCGGAGAAAACATAGCCGACGTTACAGCAATTTCTCCACAAGTCAACGGGACGCGTCTTCTGTCGACTTTAGTACTCAAGGCCCCATCACAATAGCAACAACAAGTTGAATAAAGAAGATGGCCACGATCTTCTGAATCATATACTCTAATCTGTCCACAATACCCAGTGACATCACAGCATGATTTCCCAATCCGTTCATAAACGCCGTCACCCATATACTCGTAGTGTCCGCCCGCTCGCAGCCCATGTACTCCCTCTGCTACACGGCGCAGTTCCTCGTCACTGTATTCCTTACGGTCCATACGAGGTTGTGTAGGTGCTTGCATAACTGCCTCTTGCAATTCCTTTCGATCACGGAGGACTCGTCTCACCGCCATCTGCCCTCCTCTTCTATTGTATGACAGCTCATATGCTTGTCCTTGTTGGATTCTTTGGCGCATTTCTTCCAGACCTCGACTCCATTCAACCCCAGAAACCGTTGCAGACGAATCCGTCACAGCGGGAACATTCCACGAGGTTCCTGCCCCTGAATATCTTGTCAATCTAGAATGGACATGGCAAGCGAGGCTGACATATAATCCCAGAATAAGAGGCTTCATTTTTGATAGATCAAGAACACCTGAAGGAATCTTGCTGAAGAAACCAAGTGAGCTAATCGAGACTCTTTCCAAAGAACCGTGAAGGAAGCCTAAAGAAAGCAACTTACATTCAAGCTGCGTACTGGTAGAATTGAATTATAATCCTAATGACAAATCTCTCAAGAAAACGAGGGCTTGTTGAGATATCCTTGTCGATGGTAATATGGTCTGCTAGAGAGCTGCTTAACAATGGATTTTTTAGAATAGATATCACAGACAAGTTATTGACATTGTTTGCTTTTGCAAGTTGAGCGGAGATGTACGTACCCGACCTGGGTACTACGATTCTATCTCAATCACCAACCCAAGAATTTGAGCGCCAAAAATGCGCTTTTACTCAAGGGATCACTTGACAAAATGAGCCGTAACAAGCGAGGACAGAGCGATCGACCAGAGTTGAAGTACCAAAATCTCTGTCGCGAGTAGAGTAGGAATAGCTTTGTGGTTGTGCTAGTGCAGAAAGTTAGCTTACATAAGCTGATGGTAGAAACTGCGCAAGGGTATGAGAGGAATGTCTGACATCCTGGTTGTGGAACGATTCCACATAACGTTCTGCGCGATCTCGATCTCGTCTGCATTAACTTATTTTCGGAAGCAACAATATCTTATTCAATGTTGTCGCCAAATTGAACTCTCGGCCACATACCAGGGATCCCGGATTGTTTTGCAACCTATTGGGACACGTCTGGAGATCCCTGGGCGCTGGAACTTGTGGTGCTCGTGTCCTTCCATATCAAATCTTGGAGACATTACCTTTTATTGATTACGGGCTTACATAAAAGGTAATTCAAGCTGAACATTCCGAAGCAGTCTCAAAACGAGTTTTCCAATGCAATCGCATGGTTATCATTCAGGGTGCTTTCGCGTCGGCATCTTTCCAAAGGCCATCGCATCGGTATCTTTCCGATATCGTTTCGTCTTGTATCGATTTCAGGGAGTTTGCATCGAATTCTATTGCATCCTGATGGACCCCGTTGAGAGGTAACTACGCGTTGGTACATTTGACTGCCGCGTTGTCCCCCATCCTATTTTTGGAGAAACATCCTCACAGGATGTTTAGCGAGTTAGCGAGATCTCCACCCTCAGTGGCTGGGAGTTTACATCTCAATGCAATCCAGGATGAACAATCGGAAGCAGGCTCTCAACAAGCCTTCCGAGGGTTTTGGTCAAATGCCATTGAATGATTGTGCAATGTGAAGTGAGTGAGTTTGGGTGGTCACGTGATGTTAAGGTGGTGTAGCTCTACTAGAAATCCAAAAAACCATTCTTGGTAATTTGACCCTTGTTGACCATCTAAGACCATCTATGAAATGAATGCTGAGCCACCTCCCATCGTAATGAACCCCATCGGTCCCTTTTATCAATCCAAGTTATCATCCAACCAAATCTGACGAAAACATCACAAAACCAAAGAACTGTCATCATGCCACACGTGGACGGGATCCAAGCAAATCTCATTTCCAGTGGAATCCCTTTGATGGAATATCCTAACGTGTCGTCCGCGCCCAACAACGTGTTTTGCGAGTCACAACCCGGTCAAACTTTCGAGGTAGAGTTTTCAGGACCTGAGAGACCTTCGGATTGTGTAGTCCACCTCTACTGCGATGGCGTTTTCATGTCTGGCTATGCATTCCCTCGCCGTCGCCGTATCAAATCAACTTTTCGAGGGGTCTATCTACCGGGAGATGACGCAGCATTGTTGCCCTTCAAGTTTGCGAACGTCGAGCTTTGTGAAGAAGATGACAGTCACCCGGAACAAATCGTCAAAAACCTCGGCACTGTAGCTATTGAATTCTTTCACTGTACCTTGGGTCCACCCAAACCAAGTGGTAGGAGTACCATTCCATCCGTTGCATCAAACAACAAATTCTCTGAACGAAACAAGAAAGCTAGCATGATTCCACATACCATTGGGTCAGTTCTCCTGCTTATGCGTATATTTGAACTCACACTCATCTTTTATCGTTCAAACCTTTCTGACCGAATATCCACTCCAGTCTTGGGGAATCCCTTCCAGCTCCGACAAAGCGAAGCTCGATATCTCATGACCCTAGTCAGATAGATCCCACACCCTATGTACGATTTGTGTGGCAGTATAGGTCTCGTAGTAAGCTAGAATAACTCACTGGGTCTTATATTCCTACATGTTTCCTGAATCAAGCCTACAAACTGTTTGTTGATCTCCATTTTCTTCTTCAGGTATGTTGATCACTTCCGGCCTCATTCCTCGGCCCACCAGCCAACTTCTAGACATCCGAATATCAACACCACCTCCACTTACGCACCAAGATGACGAAGAGGCGCACAAAGAAACGAAGCCTGACATCAAGCCAAAGGCGAGCGGTACCAAGCCAGTGGTGATCGATCTTTGCGACGACAATGCAACATTTGCATTGTTTTCTAACAGTATCGAAAATCCAATTCTCCTCGACGATGACGAAGATGATGAGTCAATAATCCAATCATCTGTCAACCTCCTTCAAGCTAGTACTAGTAGCAGTACAACCCAACAAGTTGATAATAAACCTGTGAAGATTGAGATAGACACTGCTCCCAGTGGGCAACCTAATCGAATGAAGCGTCACCAGGCCGACACACAAGTTGAAGAGATTGATCAAAAACGTGTGAAGTTGGAAATAATATCTGAAGCTCTAAATGACTCGGACGCAACTATAGAGGATGAAAATTCAGTTTGATATTTGTCATCATTTCTGTCTACTGCATATCTCTTCTAATGAAGATCAAAATCAAACATCAAAATCAAGATCAGTATCAAATTCCAGGAGCAAGTAAAACAAAATCTCAAGATACGAAAGATTAATGATAATTTTGAATTTCATCAAGTTGAATGAAGTATTAATTCCAATCAGAAGTTTATTCAATTTTACTCACAAGAGTGGACCAAATTGACCAGGAATGTAAGTCTAGTTCACTATGACATCCTGTGGTAATTGGTTTCTTCAGAATCCTCAGTTTGTCATCATCGTCTTTTTGCACTTTCTCAAAACTTGTGAAGCTTTCAATGTGTTATATACGATTCTCAATGTCAGCCATGTACAGTGTAACGCTTCAAACCTCAAAACCTATAAGCTTATGTTTTGTATCCTTTTTATTTTATACCTCGTCTGATCAGGTCTACTTTGATCATTATGTTTTTGTCCAAGTAGTCTTAAGTGATAGCCCTATGTTTTCTTAAATTCTGTCTCATGTTTGGTCTCGTATGCAAAAGTTTAAAAATCGTGCAATATAGACTTTTGGGATTTTTTAGTGTTCAACAAGAAAACCAATTGCAGTCTTCGTCTTATCATTTGGATGATGACAATTTAAATATCAAATAGATTGATAACACCAAAGTCAACCAGACAAGCATAAGGATCTTGATCTCGTTATCAATTGACCCAACAAATCGAAAATGTAGTTATTATAATATGTAAAAACAAAGATCACAAGGTATCATAAATTAAGAGTAGAGTGACTATAAACAAGTATAATGATATATCACAACTAACAACGAACTCAAGTATTTATAAACAAACTATCAAATTGTTTTCCCAAAGATCAAAAGGTAAAACCCTTCAATTGAGTTCCTGATATTACAAACCCACACTATTTCTTCCTTTACATCCAATTATTCCTTCTAGCACCATTTCCATTTGGATGAAACCTGCCAATTCCGTTAGAGTTTCCTGCAACTTTTCTTAATCCATCCCATAATGGACTTTTCCTGACTTCCTCTTGATTTTCATTCTGATGTTCATTGATTTGTGTTTGAATTTGTTGATTTAATTGTCTTCTTCTATTTCGATTTCCAAAATTTTCTAGTGCTAATTCAATTTCACTTTCTGTACCACCTTCTGTACTTTCTTCTGATTCAGTTGAAATCTCTTCTTCTATCTTTCTTTCTTGTTCTATGATACGATCGATAGATTCAGATTCTGGAAGAGTGATATCACCTACAATCGTTCGATCGTCTTCGTCTTCTTCAGCTAGTTCTTCTGCTTCTTCTTCAACTAGTTCTTCTGATTCTTCTTCAACTAATTCTTCTGATTCTTGGTCTGGCGATTCTTGTGGATCCTCTTCCGGAGCTTCTGGTATGGTCTTCTCACTGAAAACTTCTTTAGTAAATCTGATTGTGTTTGTGGGAATATCACCGTCACTACTACTACCACTGCTACTCAACTCGAGTTGGTGATCATTTTGTATCCTTCCATTTGTCAAAGGATGATGATCATCTTTAAGTTTAGGAGATGGGAATTTAGGACTACCTCCTTGCCATCTACGTCCACCAGCAAATGCGACTGGACGAGTAAATCGACTGTGTAGAGACGCAGAAGAACAGCACAACACAAGGGGCAAGGATCAGCACAATCGACTGCAGAAAAAAATTGTAGAGCAACATTTACAAACCTAACAATTCGTGATGCCAAAATCGCCGTACATTTACTCCACCAAACTTTCCATGCTTCTCCAACAATCTTTCTACCATCCATATCTTCAGCTTGTCTTCTCATTTTACGTACAGGTACTAAAGTTCTCCAATGTGAAAAGGTGTTGGATTTGATTTGATGTCGATCAAATTCAATAGCAGGAAGTATCAGTGAATTTTGACGCCAAGTTGTGATTGATCTGCGTTTGGTCTGGATCACATTATTGGTTTTCACACTTAGTTCCTTGTAGAGTAAAATGTCATTCCAGCCGAAGGTACATGATGTGGATAAATAGAATCAGAAGCAGGATGAGTTGATATTCGATGATTATTCGCGTCAGAGCTCTCAGCCAGCTTTCTGGTTCATTACCATAGATCGTTATGGCATATGAGATGATGTTTGGTGTAAAACAAGAAAACTCACTTGAGACATTAAATCTCTCTGCACATAGGCATCAATCCATCGTTCCCAAAAATTCCGAATAGTAGCTTGACGTTGTTCGTCAAGCCAATTTTCCAATTGTTCTTTTCGTAACTTTGAATCCATGGCTTTCACCCTCCAAAACTCAAGCATCGCATCTCTTTGTTCTACGTAAACATAATCTATAGTCAATAAGAAAGGACAGATCCGGGAGAGCTGATCAACAAGTACTCACCAATTCTTTGGATTTCTGCGAATCCTTTGGCTAGATCTCCAAGCCGTTGGATTTCTTTGAATTTTGCTACCCATATATCAAACCGTGAGCTAATTTGTTTGTATCGGATCAAATACCAAATACGTCAGTCATGATGGAATCTTGCAGAAACACCGAGTTGAGTTGATCTGATCATGCTTACCTCAGTAGATCGACTGCAAATTCCCTTGCAACTTGTATCAGCTGACCACGTAATCGTACCACTTTCGACACCCATATCGACATCACGAAAGTTTTATGGTGCTAAAAAATGACAAATTATCAGACATCATAGGTAGAATACCGCGGGACATCAATGAAAGGATCATTACCCGATCCAATTTCAGCTGAAAGTTTGCAATTAGAGTTTTCTCCCATCTTTGCCTTCGCATTTTTCTCGTCCATTCTATTCAAAGATCAAATATGTCAGAAGAAGTAAACCAGAATCCTTATCTTTTGCTGATGAGATATTGAAGGAATGAAAAGAGCGTACCCTCAAATGTATCTTTCATCGTCACCACCTTGCGTCGCTTGACCCATTTAAGGATCTTTCCTCTTCGGTAACGTTTCAACCAAATACCTAGGAACCGTTCGCTTAAGAGCGTATCACGAGTCATGGCCGCCTTTTTCTGTCTATCACACTGCCGTCTGACATTTGTTTGCCATTGATCGAGACAGAGCTTCCGAAGTTTTGATTGGTGATGTCGATTCGCCAGTGGAAGAAGGGTTTGTTGATAGTGCAGGAAACGTAGATGCCATTGTCGAATGATCAAAGACTGTTGACGTCGTTGAAGCTTTTGTTCCAAGACTTGTCCAGCACCTGTTCATTGAAAATCAGTCCGCTTGAGATTTATACCTGATCAAGTTTGAATTATAAACACTAATTTCAAACGGTGATAGTATACACATACCTTGAAGTACAAATCGAACGCAATGAAGTTTACGACTCCAGCAATCCATCGTATTCCTTGACACCCTTGAGGATTGTATTCGTCTGAGCAGTGCACCTCTTTCTATGATCATCCATCGATTCATCATTCTACTCAATAAATTCTCATCCCTAATTAAAATGATACGATTCGCTCGCTTCTCAAGCCGCTAAGACAATACCACTAGAAAAGTCAGTCAGGTCGTGTAAACGGCTACGAGCTCGAAGCTACCAGAGCAGTACATCCCATTGGAAAAAAACAGATCAGGTAAATGTCTCTCACATTCAATTTAGAGAGATGCCGCCTCCATGCTGTCAACCATCTCTGTCCCGTAGAGTTTTGTGAGAATTGTCTAGATTGTCGATCCCAAAGGCTGAATCGAGTAGTTCAGATCAGCGACAGAGATACCTCGACTTTTCATTCTTGGATCTAGCAGACTATCACTCACGCCATCTGATGCCATTTACGCATAAAACCAGTCAAAAGTCGTGATTCATGACGACAGACCAAAGTCCGCTCCTGAATTTTCCACTGGGTCCTCGCTCGCCATCGTGCAATCTGCCGCCTTGTCTCAGCTTTAGTTTTGATATCTATCAGGAATGCATCGGCTAAGTTGCTAGCACGACGAAGTTTTGAGACGCGAGCTAGCCAGTGAGTAAGTGCTTGATGTCTGAGTAGATCAGCCCGAGTACGTTCCGCTCGCGCGGCTCGTGCTTTCAGCCACCATAGCTGAAAAGATCCGTTCGAAATTAAGTTAGTCAGGTATTAAAATTAACACGCGTCTGAATAAGGCAGTGGGACCTACGGCTATTGCTTCACCAACCCATTTTTGCTGCTGATGTTGGAGGTGATCAGCAGCAAGTTGGGCAAGATACTGTTTCCACCGTTTATGTCGACTTTCCTCTGTTGCCTCACGCCATTTTGTAAGCGTAGCAAATTTCATCCTTGAGTTCCATATTAAGTATGTGTATAGAAGACAAATCAGTTTCTATTGATGAAGGAAAGACGCGTAAATGCACCTTACCTAGTTCGAGCTACACCTTCTACCATCCTTACTTCTCGTCGCCTTTTACCTACTTTTGCACGCCATCTTCTCCACATCCTTCCAGAGACAAGCAGGGTATGTGCACGTTCCACTTCAGTCAAAGTGAGTGTGAACCGGCGGGTACGAAGGCTCCATAGATGAAGTGTCCGAATTCGAAGATGTTCTGAACGAAATTGATCGGAAAGCGCGTCAAGAGGATCTAGAAGTTTAGAACTCGGAGATGATCGGGATTGGAACCGGTCAATTACGTTGGGAGTTGATTGAATTGATGGTCGTGGTTGGAACCGGTCAATTACATTGGGAGTTGATTGAATTGGAAAAAGCGATCCTCTCCGTAATGAGGGAGATGAAATGAGAGGTGATCGAGTAGGCGCGATGATGGTAGTGGTGCCCTCTTCTTCTTGATCGGAATGCTCCGTTCCATTGGGTTGACTAGGCGCGATTGAACTGAATGATCCCTCTGGTAGTTCACTTTCTTCAAACAAGCCTTGATCTACACAAACGCGAGACCATTTTTCACTCCAATCTGTACCGGAAACAAGACTGAGTTTGAGTAAAAGTGAATAAAACCGATCATCCAGACGTGGGTCAAGTTGATGAAGTGCCAAAACACGCTGATATGGATCCAGGAGAGCACTGAAGATACTAGAACCCGGTGGTGCTTGCAAGATGATCTCGTTTAAGATTTCAGCATCTCTTGGTGATACAATTGGAAAGGATGGTCTTGAACTTGAAGCTGATGATGAAGCTGATGAATTAATTGAAAAACTAAAAACCATGTTCTCTTCCTCAGAAATGTTGAAGTGGTCAACAGTCAGTCAAGTACAACAACATTTGGTCAACTGTCAACACACAGATACATATGTACACAGATATATGCGGGTCACGAGTTTCGCAAAGTCCGCAGCATCCAGATAACACTCAAAATTCTCAATTCTGTATTTGGAAAGACGTGTCTCCTTGGATCATATGTACCCAGAAGCACACAGCTCAACCAAAGCTAGCATGCAGTTGATCTTATGCAAAAGGAATATGTATTCTTATTATTTGTATGCGCTGATTTACTTGATCAATTTCCAGCCTTGCCCCACAGAGATCCATATACCTGATACTACACAAAACCCAACCCAACCTTTATGGGGCTTGGAAGGAACATCTGTTAGCATATTTCAGCATACCTTGGTTCCATGCTTTTTATGTCTCCATCACCAGTAATGGTGGGTGCGCAAAGGATTCAGGGAGTCCTCTTTGTTAGCTTGACCAAACTCTCATAACCCCTTGGGAAGAGTATTGAAAATTCTCTATTTGTTAGAGTCAGTACATATGTAGATAGGATATTCAGGGCGTAATCAAAATCACCACAGGTTGTTTTCCTTTCCACAGCCAACAGATACCTGGTATCAAATAAAGATTGCACAGCAAAGCATGGTATCTCCACTTGATCGCCATTGAATTCAAATGCAATTCAAACATCACAAAGCAAAGCTAGGTTCATCTCCTCCAGTGACCTATAATGTGCTGTAAGTTCTTCTAACAGAAGGTAGATGTGGGTGTTTGATTGATAAAGTAAGTAGTGTTGGCAAACATAAAAGAAGCAAAATTGAAGATATAAATGATGTTGATGTCATTAGCAAAACAAGAAAAGACAAGCGGACATGATGAAAGAAAAGATGGACATAAATGATATGATAATCAGAGACACATGAATCAGGAGGAAATACTTTACACCAACCATTTGAATAATTTTCATTCATGTTTCATCTAAAATTATATATACTATTTCGGTTATATTTCACTTTATCTGACATATGTTATGTCTGATTGAACACAAGTCTTAGTCTTACTGTAATTTTCAATTCAACTACATTTAAGTTTTCTCATATCCTTTTATCTTGTTTCTCATTTTGTAGGTCAGCACCTTCCCCAATACAGTCGACTCTTGATGTAAGCATATCGATGGTCAACAGATACACCTTGCCTATATTGCGCGATGCATAATTTTAAAAGCATAATACAGTCAACTCTTGATGTAAGCAAGCTCGACGTAGAACAGTTTCTGGAAATCAAAATTGCGCTTCTTGCATGAGTGAGTGGGACCATCTACATAATTCACCAGAATAATCTTTGAGAGAAGGTCCAACTTCTCAAATTTGGATTTCAGAGGTTGTCTTCCAACAAGTAGATAAAAGTCTGGATCCTTGAAATCTATTTCTTGGACACATCTGCAATAATGTGGAATTCTATATACAGGAACAGCACTAGTCAAGGTGCACGAGTGCCCAAGAGCCAGGATCTCTCTAGCACTAGTGATTATTGCTAACCCCAAGCCTAGCTCAGTAAAACATCAGAACAACACTCCAAATAGAAATGAAACAGAGATACAATCAAAATATAAAGAAAAGAGATAGTTCATGAGGAAGTAAATGAAATGAAAACAGTTAACACTAGGCACAGTTTAAAAACTTGAGTGTCACACTGACATGCTCAAACAAAAGACATCTTGTAGAGAGTGAATCCAAGCTTCAAATGAGTTTAGGTGCCATGCACAGGAAGTCCTTTTTGAGTTCCTCAGGCAGTGAGACCATTAGACATAGGAAGTCTGATCTCCCTTCCTGAGACTAAAGGGGTGCTGGCATTTTACACAAAGAAACTGAATAAGAAAATTTTCCAAACCTCTCTGTGGGCATATGTTGATGTGGGACAGTAAAATGCACACTGTGAGGCCTAACTCATAGAACCAACAGAACAAGCCCCCAATTGAGATTGAAACAGAGATATTTGGATAGAACAAAAAGAGACATGTGAGGAAAGAAAAGAAACAAAAACAAAAACAAAACCACAAGTACAATTTAAAGCAATTGATAATTACACCTGCCACACTTGTGTGGTGTAACCTTACATAATCATATCTTGGCTTCATCCTCTTCTTTGATAAATCATCATCTCTTGCCCTTGTACAAGTGGGCACAGAAAAGATATGACACCCTCAGGGCCCAAAGATCACTACAGTGTGTGTAGTATGAGCCAGTCTAGCCCTGGGGGTGACCCATACTTTCTGTGTCTGCTTGTACATTGAGTTCCTCAACTTGGAAGATCTATTGTATGATTTTGATGAACTTCAATCAAAAAGATCTTCAATGTCTGACTCTAAGGAATGAACTTTTCTCATGAATGAGGGAGACGGCAAAGACCATGATGGGAATTCTCCTGAATTCTCTTTGAGATAAGGTCTAGCTTCCTGATTTTTGACATTAAATCTGATCTTTCCCAATTTGAATTTCAGAGGTTCTCCTTCAACAGTCAAATGGAAATCATGATCTTTGGATTTCAATTCTTTCGCCATATCTTCAATTGCCGTGTAATCTTGCTGGTTTCCATTGAGTTGAATAGCTTTGAAAATCTATCATGAGTTGTGATAGACATCAATAAAAATGATCTGCACTGTCCAAGAAAGTAGAAACTCTATCACTCACATTCTCAGCTTTCTGCAGAAAGCCATCAAAGCGGGAAGCCACAATATGAAGACTCCCTTCTTCATGAGATGTAGATTTTCTTGCAGTTCTGAGAAGTTTGGCGGCTTTCTGGATAGTTGTTCTAAATACAACGGAATCTTTCATCTTCCTCACAAAATCTTGTGCACATCCAGACTCAAAATTGACTAGGTAGTAGATGAATTCAAGGCTCATTTCATAAACCTCATGAACTGAAGCAGCTTTCTGGGCCCCTTGCAAATTCTTCATGGCTTGATCATAGTAGTCATTCTTCACAACTCCCTTGCTTGTAGGCGGCCAATTTCGAAGAGAAGTCCTTAGGTCTTTGATATTTTGTTCCTTGGAGTTTTGCATCTTGTTCATTAACTGGTAGAGCACAGACTTTTGAAGGTAGTCGGGATCTGAAGATTTTTGTGAGATCATAATGATGAGAACAGGTGACATTGTGATAATGGGAAAAGTGCTTACTTTTAACCGGCAGCATCCATTGATATTCGCCAAATTTGAAGTCAGCATCTGGGACTCTGCCATACGGATATAATTGGGACCAGTCGCGCAATGAGTGCTTAGGTCTGAATTGTTCTGGGTACCTTTGAATGGATTCTTGGAGTTCAGCTTCCTGACAAGGAAATATGAGATGAAATGCAGCCAAAAAATTATGATGTTCAAGGGTAGATCTTTCATTTTCTTGAGAGTGAATGTGGCTGTAAACACGATTTAACAGTTCATCGCCACCAGCTTCGGAGGTCTTTCCTAAGGTCTGTTCTTCGTGCCAACCCTCTATCATTCTAACATACTCGTGTGACTCGTCAACTTCTGGTCGAAATTTCAAATATTCAATCATGTCTTTCTTTGCAAAAGGGAAGTGGATCTTTCTGAAGAAGGAATAATCTTGTAGCAGAGTGATGAAAATCTTTTGAGCTTGAGATGAATGATTTAGTATATGTTGAAATATAGCTTTAGAATAATCTCCTTCCCATTCACCTAGGTTGGTATTCTTGAAGAAGTATTTGAAATCATTGATAAGCTGTGATAATTCCCTTTCATTATCGGGTAGTTGACTTTTCAGTAAATGTTTCGAGATGGGCTCATAGATTGTGGTCAACAAACACGGATATTTTGCGTCCTTTGTCGAGTCGTAATGCCCAAGTAACGCGGCCCGCTGAAGGAGCTCCTCCAATCCTACAGATCAATCACCAGTCTCAGACTCTATCCTGTAAACAACAGTATCCTCTCAGGAACAAATGGCTTACCTTTACTGGACTCTTCTGCTGAAATATGCTCTTCTCCTAGCCAAAGCGACTCAAATCTCTTTGTCATACAAAATTCGAAGTCTAAAATCAAATTAACAGTTTCAACTTATTCTGCTAATGGAGAATAATTTGTACGACAGACTAACTCGCAGCAGCTTGGATCTCTAGAACCACTTGATTACTCCAGGGCATTTTTGAAAACTCTGCTTCTTCTGTCATTTGTTGATCTTCGGGTTCTGGCGGCAGGTACCTTGAAATTGCAGCCAATATCCCCACGATCCAAGATCTTTCCTTTTCATTGCAACCTACTTCAGAATGGAAAGACCTTACAGCTAGTCTGATACAGTCATCCACTGTGGCTTTATTACCTTCAAGCCAACTGCCCCACAGCTCTGGAGTCGGGTTCAGCGTTGAGACGAGCGACATCACCTTGTCGGCTAGATATTTTACGGTCTCATTGTTGGTTTCCGCCTTGACTACTTCACTTTTGCGGAAGAAAGCTGCGTATGGTGTGATTTTGATTGGCGATGGAAGTTTGTTCACCCCTTTGATGGTATCAGTTACTTCTGAAGAAGTGTGATCTGGTACAAAACTGGATTTATCCACCAATTGGGGTACGAAAAGATTTTCGACTAATGTTTTGGTGTGATCAATGTCTGTTGAATGGGTCGGGCCACATTGAACAAATAAGGCTGGAAAGAGATGTAATGCGAATAATACGGAGGAAAAACCAGACATCATCTCGTCTCCTTTTGGAGGCTCTTGCGTGTTGGAGAACTAAAGATTGTGTGAGACTAGCCTACTTATAATCACATTGGAAGTTTCAGGATCAGCATGAATGATGAAGCTGCTCCTCGCAGAGATGAATGGCGCGCGTCACGCCTTGCAGAGTTGTAAAATCGATGCTCATCTAAAGTAAAGCGGTAGCGCAGCATTTAACAGGTAAGTATTGACTTCATATTCAAGGCTTTTCAGTTGAAAATGCTGTGTAAGTTTTCTGACAGGAAAATTGGTCGTAAACGCTTGGGAGCTTGTGAGCAAGTCGAGTATGTACATATGACTATGTGTGTATCATTGATTTCAGAATCTGAAAATGGCCTTTTTGTGGGGCCAATTAAGCTGCGTATTCGGGGTCTAGGTTTGAGTGAGACTCGGAGTCAAACCATTCAGAGAGCATACTGTTGGCTCATTGGAAAGACCAACCTCTTGTGCGGCACCTTCAAGTATGTACCAGCCTCTTCAAATACACACATTTGAATGGGCCATATAGATTATGAATGTAGTTGAAGGGGCTGGCAAGTACGGGAGGTGTCACTACGTAAGGCTGGCATTACGATTTTCTTGACAAGACCTGCGGTGGCAACCCCGATGATTTCAAGCTAGTCAAGCAATTGATAAGTAGCGCCAGGGCACCGTGCCAGAAAGAATTTCTAGGCAATGTGTGCTGGGAACAATCTACTTCATATCAAACCAGGAAGAGAAGACTTTTGAAGTAGGGACAGGTTCCTGGTTTAATGCCTCATGTCCAAAATATCTGCCAAGAATTCTGATATATCATAATCATTCCGTATGTATCGTAAAAACTTTCATCAACATTTTTCCTTTTAAATAGATCTATCTACAAAATATCCTATTTTTTTCTTTCCTTCCTTGGATACAGTTGAAGACAAATAACGGAAAAAATTGATAATTTAGTACAGGTTAACAAAACAAGAAAACATATACATTTGTTTGATAATTGCCAAGAAAAGATAAATAAGACGAGAATAGAATAAAAACCCGAGCTGATAACAAAAACCTCTTGAGGTATTTTTAAGGTTACGATAGTTTAAATAATTTGATTTTGCTGATTTGCGAAAAGTTTTTCGTATGTTTTTTGGGGGATAACGACTGCAGCGTATTTGTACCATTTCTTGATTTTCATATTTTGAACAAGCTGCATACTTTTGCGTGATTTTTTTTACAATGCAGTGGACGGACTCTTCAATTCACTTCTCGATCGACGAAAACGGGAATAATTTAAGATCTTTTAATAAAACGATCTGTTTGAAGAGGAGGTTAGATGATGATGATGTTGTGCTCGATAATGAGTCTTTGCATGACGTTTAGCGTTCGAAGCTGTGGTAAAAGCTTTTTCACAACCGGCCTAGTAGGAACAGAAGCGATGGATATGTTAGTTGTGTGATATCGTTATGAAACATAAAAAAGGTTGACTCACGAGCGGACATGCGTAAGGTCGCTCTCCAGTGTGGGTAACTAAACAAAAAATCAAAACAAGGATCAACGACGCCGGCTCGATACCGGAGAATCTTTTTGATCGGACATACTTTGATGTTGTGTGAGTGTCTATATAAAACACAAGAAGGTGACATGATAAGTAAAGTTGTAGATTGTTGATCAAACATGGCATTCAGATTTCAGAGATCTGACTGTACTGACCGTTTGTCTTTGAAAGGCCCGTCCACAAGTTTGGCAACTGGAATACATTTCGCGGTAAGTTTTGAGAAGCATGCGAAAAATGAAAGGAGGAAGTCACGTACGTGTATTTTTTAACAGGAGGCGGAGAACTCTGAGAGCCAGAAACTGATGGGGACGTCGAGCTAGATGATGATTGTCGAGAGAGTGACAAACTCCAAAGTGATGAATTCTCAAGCGGCGAGTTAAAAGACGAACTGCTCGTCGTTACACTCGGACTCTTCTCAAATCCTAGAGGCCCAGTTGGATAAGGAACTTGTAAATGGTAAAGTTGATCCTGCGGGTAGGGCGTAGGTTCGTATGGTAGCGCTGGTGGTTCGAGAGTGTAGTAATCGGCCGCTGGCCATTGAGGTTGACTCATCGATAATGTGCTAGCTTCAAGCTCCATGTTGGGGTGCGCAGGATGAGGCTCCCAATAATTAGCCCAATCTGGGTCACAGCTTGCCAAAAGCGCGGAAAAGTTTTCAGATGATGGCACGGCGGTGTCGAAATTGTGAGCCGACATCATCCTTGGTGCATGCATATCAACTGGGAACATTTGGTGTGGCGGTGTGGTCCAAGCAGCCTGCGCTGGAATTACTGTGTCGTTCGGGGTAGATGGATCGAAGGGTATGTAGGACTCCATTTCGTTTAGCTAGGGTGAAAGCGGCGGTAAGAGGCGTTTGCTGGATCGCAATAAAAAACTGAAATCAAGATAAGGCCTTGGGTTCCGGTATGATTCAAGAAACTATGTCGATGAAATAAGTGACTGTATATAGAACAGGGGGATAAATGTGAGGTGCTTCGCAGCTAAACCGCTTACAAAATGTTGCTACAAAATCACTACAGAAAGTATCATATACGGATATACTGATTGAGATGATTGATCCTAGTGCTCCTACTGTCTCTGACAGAGGAGTTGTAAGGAAACCGGGTTGCAAGGATCTATAATCGACTCAACAAAAAAAATATCCCTCAGGTTAATTTACTGGGATTAATTTTGGGATGATGGATAGATAGTGCAGAGGATGCGTTGAACAGGACGTAGGAGGATGTGCAAAGAACGGTGAGAGGAAGGATGAAAAATAGTGAGATGGGCTGGTTTTAAGTCATGATGGTAGGATATAGATCGCATCACGAACCCAAAAATGGCACACAGTCTCCCACCCTCCAAGCTGAAATGCACGTTGTTTGGCTCATGGTTGACTTTACAACCTAGCAGAGCTAGATACCATTATTGACCACGCGATCGGTCGAAAATGACATCAACCAAGGTTCACCGGGGTGGTATGCCAAAGGTTGGAAGTGAAGGGCGGAATCTTGGGGACCGAGTTATTCTACAGAGACTTGGTCACTAAGAGGATGCGTTCATTGATGATCTTTCTGCTAGTGATGACGGATCCTCGTCGGTGTGCACGAAGTCTTATGAATAGAAAAACCCATAAATCGAACTTCGAAGGAATCGCGACTATGAGACCTAAATTCAATCCCGCATGCCATTAATTCTTGAAGTCTAGTTTACATAGTCTGTATGATTATATCCTAAATGAAACACAGCTCTGGTCTCTCTTGATAAACATCTCGAAATTTCTTCTATACGTGGGAGGAGATGATGGCTCAGGCTCACAATCACAAGATCTAATTTGATTGGTTATCTTAACCAAGGTACGACTTAAGATGTAGGTCCATGACCAAAAGGTTCTAAGTGGTGGGGAAACTGTACAACTGTACGATGTACACTTCTGGTCTGGGAAATTCACCTGTCAGAGAATTTTCAGCCTCCGCACCAAATCCCTGAAGTACCTTTGAAGATCCCAAGACATTCAAACTTTTATATACGGAACTCAACGAGTTTTTTATTATTATCGTTAGACTTAAATCCAAAGAAGAAGTTTAAAGTTTAGAATAGCCATGGCATCATTCAACGAAGAGATGGAATCTACAAAAAACAAGATAACAGCTGCCGGAACCAAAATTAAAATTACAAAGAAGCCGAAGCAGCCGCAAAAAACAGGAACGAGGAGCCAGGCAAAGAATGCCGAGACCAATGATAGCGACGGACAACAAAAAGGTACACAAGGAACAGCAGAGACCCAAGAAAAAACGCAAGGAACGTCAACGTCAATCACGGCAGAAGCATCAACGTCGAATGCCAACGTAAACCAAGGAGAAGAGGAAGAGGAGGCGAGAGATGACAAGGAGTTGGGGAGTAGCGCTACAAAGAGGAAGGAGGAGAGAGAAGGGAGCACATCAGAGGATGGTGAGTAAAGAGCGTTTCTGAATACAAGAATTCCTTTCCAAGCAACCCCCTCCTAGAAAACAACTTTCCACACGCCAAACCAAAGGGAAGTCTCCCGTACCTCCCCATCCACACTTCTCTATTTCCTCTCGCCGTCTTTTCCCCTTTATTTCCTGGAATATGAGACGGCGTCGAAAGGGATCCAACGGATCCACAGCAGCCCCAACGCGGGGGAGGAAATCGGGAAAGGAACGAGGAAGTGTACCAGTCACACAAAAAAAATGAGGCCGGAGTGGGCTATACCGCTACCAAAAAGAACGGGGAAAGACAACGATTAAATCAGTTGCAAACCCAAAAGAAAAATACCCTGTGGGAAAAGATCAAATATACATACAATCAAAGCAAACAAAGAGTTGTTCAATCCAATATCCCACTAACCCACTCTATTAAGAGGGGGAAAAAGAAAGGTGGAAACAGCTAGCTGATAAACATGTCCTTCGCCGCATGAAAATTATGACACGCAGACGAGAGCGAGCAATCGAGGAAGTCCAAATGGATGAGGAGAACAGAAAACGAGTATTATTTCGGCGACGCCCAACGAGCAGACGAGATGCTGAGGGCGTTCAACGCAGTGTACGGGGGAGATCACCCAACACAAGACGACAGAGACAGAGTCACCAACAACCCGATGAACGTGGCAAAGGACCCGGAAGGTGTCGTACGTGAGGAGCATCAACAAGAGAACCGCCGCCCGCGGACCGAGTCTTTAGTGGCAGGCAGCGATAGCGCCAGTGATAGCGGAAGCGAGGCGGAAGCTAGACCTGTGAAGAAAGTGGAGGTGGAGAAGTCAGAGAGAGTAGTCTTGAGGAAAGACAAAAAGCCGATAGAGAAGGCAAGCGAGAGCAGCGAGGATGAAGGCTCAGGTACGCACAAAACATACCAAGCAGAGGTAGACAGCCCGTACTGACAGAAGAGCTATACGCACACAGAAACCAAAGACGGTATAACCTACATGATAGGAAAACCGATCGAAGGAAACATACTCCTCCCATTAACGCCATACTTTGACTCGAAGATGAGGACTCTCAAAGCTTACGTTCAACTGACGGTTTTCGACCCAGCATGGATCGAAAAAGACCATCGACAGGTCGGTAAGAAGAAAACAAAAACCATCAAAGAGCTCCAGGAGGACGATACGACGGCCACATTTTCAGGCTTGACACCTCCAGAGGAATTGTTGATGACATATGGTTTCTGGACAGACGCCATGGATCTATTCATAAGATACCTGGAGACAGAGTACGACAAACCTGTAGCGGAAAAGATGTTTAGACGACATAAAGAGAACGTTGTAAGCATAAAAAGATCTACGAAGTGCTGGATGGTTGCCCTCAGGTACTGTATGAAAGTCCGACTAGTGGTAATGGTAGTGAAGAAGGTTAAAGGCAAGAGGGTTATGATAGACGCTGGCTACCTTCACGAAGACATCCTGCGAGAAGCGAAAGAGGAGGCAGAGAACAACGGGAACGGAAATTCCAAGAAAATCCTTACGTACCAGGAGGAGGTAAGGAAAATTTTGACCCGGTAACTGGACTGACGAAGTCCGGAGCGAAACGGAACTTCGTGCAAGCCAACAACACCAACACAAGTGAGTGAAGAGAATGTTCAGATTCGAATTCAAGAGACAGAAGCATTGAATAATAGTCCATTTCCGTGTTGAAGCTGGAGCAGGACCGTCCTACAACGCCGGAAGATCAATGGGTTATCAGGGTAACAACTGGGTTCCGAACTACAACGCGAAAAGGGCGAAGGGATTCTGGAATTCCGGACAGAGGACTGATCCGATCCAAGTTTTCGAAGGCGGCGCAAGCGGGAAAGGAAAGGGAGTCGGAGCCTGGAATGCAAAGGGGAAAGCGTCAGGAGGCGAGAACAGAAACACAGAAGAGCAGACTAAGCAGTAAGTGTAGAGAGCCGAGAAACCTGAAGGGCCCAGTAGAAGGCCCCCCCTCCCTCCTTTCTCTCTTGTACCTATGATGCGCGAATAGATGAGATACATAGTGAAATGACATACCATGTTCCAAAATGCTTTAGCCCATGTAGCTCCCCCTCGAGCGCGGAAAACACGCGAGAATTGAGAGTACAACGTGCCACCTCCCGAGGCGCGCATGAAGCCGCAAAAGGAAGCGATGGCCGAGAGGTACAGGCGGTGGTTCTAGAAGCACAGCCAGGTAGCAATTCGGAAGAACGCCCACAGCTAGAGGAGGCAGGTAGACCAGTTCTGGACATCTACTCCAGACCAGTACCGATACTATCGGAGAGTTTACCGGAAAAAGGCTACAAGATGAACAGGAAGTGGCCGACAACCGTGAAGTGCGAGATGAATTTAGAGATGTGGGAGAAAGCTTTACGAGACCTGAACTTGATGGAGAAACACGGATATGTTTTGCAAGGTTTCAGAAGAGGTTTCACTCAAGGAATCCCACAGCATAGGTTAGGAGACAGGGAATTCTACTCACCGATGAACCACGTGACGAACGAAAAAGACAAAGAGGAGATCCGGGCAAAACTGTCCAAGGAGTTGGAAGCAGGACGGATGTACGGGCCATTCACGGAGGCTGAGGTACTAGGAACCCTGGGATTCTTCCGAACCAGTCCGATGGGTATGGTCACCAATAACGATGGATCGACTAGAGCCATAAACGACCTATCTTACCCGAAAAGAGAAAAAGACCTGACGTCAGTAAACTCGCTAGTAGACAAGGAGGATTTTAAGACTAGTTGGGACGATTTTAAAACCGTAGCAACCTTTTTTAGCAAAGAAGGGGGAATCCTCGAACTAGGGATATTCGATCGGGAAAAGGCCTACCGGCAAATCCCAACGAACCCCGACCAATGGCGCTATCTGATGCTGAGGACTGCAGAGGGTAGGATCGTTCTAGACACTAGGGTGTCATTCGGAGGAGTGGCCGGTTGTGGGAGTTTCGGCGGACCTGCGGACGCGTGGCGAGACATTATGAAGAGAAAATTCAATTTCACGGAAGTCTTCCGCTGGGTGGACGACAACCTGTTTGTGAGGAGGGCAGGTGGAGAGAATCCAGTGTCGATGAAGGAAGTTGTAGCCGCGAGTGCAGAGTTGGGAGTGAAGACGAACGAAGGAAAGTACTCGGAGTTCTGCACAGAGCAGAAGTATATCGGATTTATATGGAATGGGACGGACAAGTCAGTAAGGCTGCCAGAATACAAGAGAATGGAAAGGCTGAGACAAATACGAGACGCGATAGAAAACAAAGGAACTCACACCCACAAAGCGATCCAGAAGCTGACGGGAAGACTTGACCACGTAACGTACATGCTACCACAGATGAAGTGCTATAATGTCGGACTGTACAGCATGTTAGCAGGGTGGAAGAACGAGTTAGCGTTGAGAGGAATGCCAAAGGAAGTGAAAGAAGACCTCAGGGAGTGGGAAGAAGTACTGGAGAAGTTCGAGAACCACCGGCTAATACCGAAAAAAGGCATCGAAAACATAGGATGGGTAGGCGACGCGTCGACAAGTTTTGGAATCGGTGTAATGGTCGGTAAGCACTGGACACAGCTGAAGTTGAGGACAGGTTGGAACCAAGTAGACGAAAGAGGGGTGAAGAGAGGAATCGCGTGGCTTGAAACGGTGGCAGTACGAGTCGGAGTAGAGATGATACGAAACCTGTTAGAGACAAAAGGAAGGAGGTTTTTAGTCCTGACTGACAATACCGGTACGGAAGCGGTCATCAGAAACAGCAAGTCTAGAGACAGAGCCGTAAACGACGAGTGGAAGTTGCTGCAGAAGGAGTTGACTTACCTAGGCTGCGAGATAGAAGAAAAATACGTTAAGACGGGCGACAACAACGCAGACCAGCTATCCAGAGGAGAACGAGGGACCAAAAAATCGTCACATTTCCTCAAACCGCCAATCCCGCCACACCTTCGAGAATACATCAGATACGAAACAAAAGAAGAGTATGAAAAAAGACAAAGCATACTTCGAGAAGGCCGTAGGGAAAGAGGACACTTGGAAAGGCCTCGTGACTGAACACTTAGTGAAGGGGGCCTGGACAGAAAACACGAAGAAAAGTTACAACAGCGCAATTCAAAAGTTCAAGGCTTATGTAGAGAGTACAGGTAGAGAATTCATTTACGAGAACCCAATGACGGAAGAGGACGTATATGGGTTCGTGGTTTGGGCAGGGCCGTCGGAAGTCGAGAAGAAGTCAGGTCCGTTGAGAGAAATTAAGGCGAAGACAGTAGAAAAGTACTTGGCAGGTCTGAAGGCGTGGCACGTGGCAAAGCACCTCACCCAACCAAAGCTAGACAAACAACTAATAGACTGGCTGTTGAGATCGTCGGAAAGGAGCAAAGAGAAAAAAGCGATGACAGGAGGAAGAGAGAAAAAACCGATAAAGGTCCAACAGCTATTCGAGATGATGGCAGGATTGAACGGGAAGTCGAAGACGCACGACCTAGCGATGACAATAGCGGTGTGCGCATTCTGGGGAATGGCGCGGCTCGGCGAACTCATAAGGGGAACGATAGAGGAAGGAGCCATAAAGCTAGAGGACGTGAGTTTCGAAGAATCACCGCGGGGTAGGACAGCGAAGCTGAGACTATGGAAGGCCAAGACGGCCAAACCGGGTGAAGTACAGGTCATAAAGTAAGAAACGGTGTCTAAAACAGAGAAGGAACAGTAGCTAACGTCCGTTTTGTTGGGCGATTACAGATTGGTCAAACAGAAGTCAGTCCTAGACCCGGTAGCAGTTCTAGAGAAATGGATCAAAGCAGAGCACCCGAACAAGAACGGAAAGGAGATGCTGTTCTCATACTTAGAAGACGGGGAACGTCAAACCATATCGAAAATGCGATTCACGAAGATAATGGAGAGCATATGGGGTAGTCACGGAGTAGGGAAAGGCGAATGGTCAGGCCACTCGTTCAGAGTAGGAGGAGCCTCTTTAAGGATGAATCTCGGATGGAACAAGGAAAAAATAATGAAAGCGGGACACTGGAGATCGAACGCAATAGACGTGTATTTAAAAGATTTCAGAGAGGAAGAGAAAGAGGAGACAAAAGAGTTTCTGTGGCTAATAGACAGGAGAAATAGATGAAAGAGGAAGAGTCGTGTACTAACGACAAGTGACAATAAGGTTTTTTACATGCAAACATTGAAATAAGATAAAGTTTTCCAATTGCATAGAAAGCCAAGCGAGAAGCTTGTAGATCCTCAGTAGGTACAGTTTTTAAATAGGTGACCTCACATAGAGTTTGCGGGTTACTCAACGGGTTGAGACTCTAGGCAAATATCACCGAATGGGGTGCTGAGTAACCCACAAACTTTAGGGATCGGCGAACCAAACGGGCCTGCACATCGCAAACACGGTAGTTTTTTAACCGTGGCGAAAAAGAGGCGCAGACCCGGGACCGGGCTCCCCCGAACCGCTCCTAACTCAGCCTTGCGAAGGGCCAAGCTAGGAGCCCTAAAGAGGTATATAAAAAATTAAGTGCTCACTCCAGATAAGAGCATCGTGTGAATGGATTGGTTATCTTAACCAAGGTACGACTTAAGATGTAGGTCCATGACCAAAAGGTTCTAAGTGGTGGGGAAACTGTACAACTGTACGATGTACACTTCTGGTCTGGGAAATTCACCTGTCAGAGAATTTTCAGATAGGTGACCTCACATAGAGTTTGCGGGTTACTCAACGGGTTGAGACTCTAGGCAAATATCACCGAATGGGGTGCTGAGTAACCCACAAACTTTAGGGATCGGCGAACCAAACGGGCCTGCACATCGCAAACACGGTAGTTTTTTAACCGTGGCGAAAAAGAGGCGCAGACCCGGGACCGGGCTCCCCCGAACCGCTCCTAACTCAGCCTTGCGAAGGGCCAAGCTAGGAGCCCTAAAGAGGTATATAAAAAATTAAGTGCTCACTCCAGATAAGAGCATTGTGTGAATGGAATGGAAATCGTGCACGAAATAGTGAAGTGTGCTCAAGATTTGGCCAAAATCAAGTTCAGCTTGCAATACAAAATATTGACATATATTCATTCCTTTGATACCATTTACGATGGTTAGCTCAGCTAGCTCAAGTTGCTCTTCACCGCCAAGGCGGCTAGGACTTCTTAGTCAGGTTCAATGCACTGTTGAACCGATTTATTCACTCACTTGATCATCTCTCTTGTTCCGGCCGGATGAGGGCTTGATGTTTCCAATGCCATCCGCGAGCACTTTTGCTTTCTCTGCACGGCCATCCTCGGCCATTCCGGTAAGATCCATAAGGCTAAAAGGTCACACATTTGACAAGGAGACGGGGTACACCGTCGAGCAAGCTGCCTCACAAGGGGTCGCGCATCCTTCCGAGTATAGGGTTGATGTGAGAGCCAACTTTGGGAACCCTTTTGTCTGCTTCAGACGCTCCACTTCGCGTCGGAGACTTCGGTCACCGGTGATAATGACCACCCAGCAAAGATAGTTAGGCATGTGCTCACTTATAGATCAATTAGTCATGTCCACCTAGGTCCATATATCCCAACCACAGAAGCAGTTTTCAAAGTTAGAAATCAAGTCGGTATTCAAATACCACGCTTATGCAAGTCACATCAGGTCACATCAGCATTTTCAATGCGAAAAAGTAGTATTGATTTTTGAGATTTTTTGAGTGTGATTGATCCAACGCTTAATTTTTGTATACAATGCGTGATATTGGGGCAGACAAGATATTGCGGAAATTGTAAAAATTCAAGTAGAATTTGTATATCAACACGTCAAAAAAACTATATGTATGTAGGTGTAGTAATATGCAAAACACATGGTTTGTACAAAATTTATCAGAGCATCCACAGCCATGCCGTAAACTTGTAAAGTACGGAGGGTGACACACATTGTTTAGGGCAGTGTTTTTTTTCAAGTGCATGATGGCTGTATTGCATGAAACACTAACTAAACAAGTTAAAAAGTTAAAAAGAAAGGAAACTAGTTTACCTAGGAGGAGCGGCCATCTAGTCAGAGCAAAGGAGTTTGTTGTCCTTAGATTTTGATATATTCACTTTTTTTTTCTTGTGCAATTACTTTTTAAAAGGGTTTTTTTTCTTGTTGGTATCCACAGTGCTGAGCAGGCATTTGATCCACCTTCCCAACCCCCTATCATAGCGTCAACCGGAGTCACGGGGGAGAGAGGAAGGTGCTTTTGGGTGTGGGGAACAGTGGTGAGAACCGTACTGAGTTTCTGGATGTTGCCAATTCTAAAACCAGCTAAAAAGCTATTGAGCTGCCACAATGGTTATTATCCGCCAAACTCTGTAACAAGGTTAAGCAGTACACTGTTTCTGATGTTTTTCAATCAACCCCAGTTACACAAGAATTTATCAGCAATTTGATGATATGAATTTAAGGAAAAGAAAACTGCACCTGTAGCGCCTAGACTTCACGACTAGTATCCGGAAGAAAATGAAACATTTTGGTCGGATAAAAGCCGATGTTCCCTATGAAAACTGCCGACGCGTCCGACTAGTCGGGCGCCAGATTTTTTTCAAGTTTTTTTGGGCAAGTCCTCTCCTCAGACGCGTCCGACACCACTGTTTTCCCTCCAAGTCCATACACCTCACATGAACTTCACAAGTTCACTAAACTTCAAATCCTACCTAAGATCGAACTACACAGAGTTCACACATCAAGATTGACTTCACAAGAAGACATAAGACACATAACATACCCCCACTGAAAATTTACCCCAACGAACGAATTCCCTCCCAAAGATCGAATTTCACAAACCAGTCAACAACTTCACCAATTCACAACTCACAAGTCTTGAGGAAGCAAAGATTCACAAACTCACCCCTTCACATAACTCGATCTCCTCTATACACTCGATACCCACTTCACACCATGGACAACCACATACCCCAAAACCCCCATCAATCCGATTCAAACTACATCCCAATTGACAAAGAAGGAAATCCTTTACTTCAAATACCACCCACTGGAACTTTCATCAAAGACCTCGAAGCCATGTACGACTACATCGACCCTCTTACGATCCCTCATGGATACAAGTTGTCTGTTCTAGACTCACGCTACTTCCCGATCGATGCGTACATCGACTTCAAGTGTTACAAAGGGCCGACTCGTCATGCAAGATCACCAGGAGACTGTCCATTTTCTGCTCAAGCAGATTGAAAATCTATCAAGGATTCATGGATACTCACCATCAAAAATCCATATCACAATCACCCAAAATCTACTACCAAACTATCTTATCATCGACCAAAGAAGACCAGAACACCAAAATCGATAACAACTGAAACTGAACCCACTATCAATCCAACCAACCAAACCAAGACCCTTCCTCTTTCAAAACGATACTCCGATATCATTAGGCGCATGAAGACCCTTGGGGAAACAATGCAAACTTCCCTCCTCGATCGTCTCGAAGAACAGCTCATCATTGCAGAGACGGATGCAATCACAAATGAACATTTGGAGAAAGAAGCACAAGACATAATCAAAATGGAATCAAGAATGCAGGATCTCCAGAAAGAAGACTTGAAAATCCGAATCAAACTTCCAAAGAAAGCATCCACACCTATCGATCCTACCGAGACACTTCCACACCAACAGCCCCCGAAGGTGGCTATCGAAGTAGATCAGGCCAAAACTGATGCATTGATGCCTTCAAAGGTGAGTTCATTTGATCATTCACTTAATAAATGGACAATAAACTGATCAATTAATAATTGATTTTTTGTAATACCTCAAGACTCACATCGCATCCAAGACTCACATCGCATCACCATTTCCAGCCAGCCCCCCTCCTGCTTCACTGATACCACCAGACTTGAACTTCCAGAAACCTGCCGAACCACCGATGTCAACACCTCCTCCTCTTAATTTTGAAGCTGAAGACGATGACAATGAAGGAGACCATTTTGAGACCCCAAACGAACATTTTCCCATCATCCCCACTTTACATGGAAGCATGCAAAACCAACTATCGCCAATTATCGAAAGACGTGTTCATGAAGAACCTTTGGGCGCAATCGAGGTCCCAAAAGATCAGCCGGAACCCCCTTTGAAACCAGTCGAATCACCACAGTACAAACAAGAAAATGACTTACCTGCTCCTTTGACCAAAAAGCGGAACACACAAAAATTAGGCAAAAAAGTAGGCAAAGGTCCTTCCAAGAAAGCTCAAGAACAAAAACAACTCAAGAACTCAACCAACCTTCCTCTCCACGAGCCTACTTCCAAGAAGCAGAAGAACAAGACTCCCATCGATCAAGTCACTCTTAATGCCCTTCAGGACAAGGAAAAATCGAAAGAGCAACTTAAGCCCCCTATTATAACTCGATCCAAGAAACGCACTCAAGGCCAAGACTCCATTCAAAATCCCAAAGTACCTACAGTTTCTCTTCCTCCAACCAAGAAGCCCAAAAAAAGGAAATCCCAGGAAACCATGGTCATTCCTACCCGTTCCTCTACTCGAATTAAACGCCTCCTTACCACCCCGGATGACTCCTCTAACAACACCTTGGCTAATAAGGCATCGGTTAATCAATCACCGAGCAAATCAATCCAATCGAACATTCATGAAGAATCAAGTAGAGTTAACTCCAAGACTCAAAAGAAGTTATGTCCTTGAGCTGAAAATTTGCCAACCAAAACTCCTCCTCCAATTGTAAGTCCTTAATACCCATTCTTATAAAGTTTCAAGCATGAGACCTTATTAATTGCTTAATATGTACCTTCATCATTACAGACCGAAACCGAAAATCATCCTGAAAATGATTCGGCTCAAGTGGACCCATCTATCCAGGTATGTTATGTTGGTCAGGCTACTTTACAACAACAGAATCCTACACTAACTATACTTGAACTGTACATTGCTCATAGTCTCTACCTTATATCGATGACATTCCCTCCTACCTGTACCCATTCTTACGGAATGTTACAGATGTCCCACCCGATGGCCTTTGCGCATTTTCTTCTATCGCAGTTTCTCTGGGTCGTACACCGGATCAAGCAACCACCATCCGTAGCGAGCTTGAACACGAGGTTTTAACCCGATATGATTGGTATGAGAAACACACACCCACTTTCTGTATCAATTACGATGTCAAAAGGATTCTTGCAATACTACAAAACCCAGAAGACTCGGCCGGCCGAGACCTTTGGTTACCGATGCCAGGTGCCACAACAATCATTGCGAATACTTACCAGCAACCGGTCATCTTCTACACGAATAATCTCGCAGCAACCATGCATACCCTTCCTTTCTTTTCGCCTCTCCCCTCCGATATCCACCCTATCATCATCGCGCATGTGGCAGGCGTTCCTTATGTCTCCCTTGACGTAGCCATCGACGAATCATTACCTATACCTCACCCAAATCCCGAGTGGTATCATTTACATGATTCATGCGCAGATGGTTGGGATGGCTTATATTGCTCAAATGTGGCGGTTTTTGCTAAATTAGCAAAGGCTAGTAGGGAAGCAAGAAAGACCCAGTGGGCCCAAAGTCGTGCAGGTTTACCCGAACCCGATGCGATATCCCTGGCCTCCACGGAGGAAACAAATGATGATACAAATCAAGAGGTAGAAGATGATCAAGATGAAGATAGTTTTAGCTTCCACTCTTAACCTTCCATGTATGTTGATATATATATGAATGTTAAGCAACCTCCTCAAACATGTAGGATTCCAATATCCCGATGCGAAAACTGTTTCCTTTCACAATAGTAAAGACGTGAATATGAAAATTTCGGTAAACTAGATGCATGACTTGTCATTCACAATGTAATGTGAATGACAAGTTCAAATTCGAGTTCACATTGAAACCTTCAAATGTGAACAATATACAAAGCTGAGTTGTGAACATTTCGGAGTTCACATTGAATTCTGAACTAAATAAGTTTTGTGAACTTCCTTCACTTACAATTATTTGTGAACTTCTCAAGAGCAACAAATAATTGTTAAAACTTATATGTCTGAATTTTTTTCAAAGGAAAGGTATCACTCTCAGTTCTTATTTCAAGTATTTTGATCATTGTGAACCCAATATGTAGTTCAAACTCCAACTCGCCATGCTCAGATTGAAAGTTAGCTGTAGTTCACAATATGTAGTTCACAACGGGTTTTGAAAGACATAAAAAGGTCACATTGAATCTTCTAATTTCTATGTAGTTCACATTAAGTATTTCGCAATGCTCGGTATTTCAAATAACAAAGAAAGAAGTTCAATCTTTGTTAACTACATAAAAAGCATAAGAAATGCGATCTTTGCATGGAGGTCAGAATCAGTTGTGAACTGGCAGTTCACAATCGGTTGTGAACTGCTAATTGTTGTAAACTGCAAATTCACAACTGATTGTGAATTACCAAGTACACAATGCAGTTCACAAAGAATCAGTTGTGAACTGGCAGTTCACAATCAGTTCACAACTGATTGTGAACTGCTAATTTTTGTAAATTAGCAGTTCACAACTAATTGTGAACTGCATATTCACAATGCTTTGTGAACCCATCAAAAGGTTCACAACTGATTGTGAACTTAGAATTAGGAGCAGTTCACCATCAGTGGTGAACTATCTATGTAGTTCACTTTGCGAATCACATAAGTTCATAAGTTCACAACTAACTACATAGACTGCAAACCTCCCATTGTGAACTGCTCGAATTCGAAGTTCAAGTTCAAAACTGACGAATCACATAAGTTCATAAGTTCACAACTAACTACATAGACTGCAAACCTCCCATTGTGAACTGCTCGAATTCGAAGTTCAAGTTCAAAACTGAAATTGTGAACTAGCTCGATGAGCCTATGGTCCTCAGAATCTGTTCTGAATTCAGCATTTAGTTTGTAGTTAGTTTCTGACTGAACTGCCCAAATTGAAAGTTTGCAACCTTCCATTTCGATTTTAGGAATTCTGAAAGTTCAATAATTTTTCTTAACTACCAAAAAACACTGGGATATTTGATTGTGATCTTTGCATGCAGTTCACAATTGGTTGTGAACTGCCAATTCAGAATTTGCCAATTTCATACTGATTGTGAACTTAGATTTGAGTTCACACTATTCACAGTCAGTTGTGAACTGTAGTTTCAGTCTTAATTCTGCATGTTTAGCATATAAGTTCATAAGTTCACAACTAAAGCTCACAACCCATTTTGAACTGGTCAAATTCATGATCTAGTTCACAACTGAAATTGTGACCTAGCTCTATGTGGTCGAAATCAAAAGTCATCAACCTATGGTGGACCTCACCATAGGTTTTGAAGTCAGGATGTAGTTTGTAGTTAGTTTGTGATGGGCCCAAAATAAAAGTTCACAAATTTATCATCAAGTTGTGAAGTTCCGAATTTAGTCAATAATTGTGAACTGACAAAATGAGCCGATGATCAAAAGTGAACTCTCTATCCAAATTTGACCTATCTATCCAGTTTACCATCAGTTGTGAACTCAGTCTATAGGTAGTAATTACAACTTGCTTCATAGGTAGTTTTGAACTTTCAAGAAAGTTCACAAGTGCCTATCAGAAAGTTCATATCGAATTGTGAACTTTCAATATGTTCACATTTACTTGGGAAAACTTTGATTTGGATGTGCACAATTTTGAACTTCCAAATCAAACTGATAATCTCATCTTAAAACTCAATTCGGCTCACAATGAGTTGTGAACTCAGTATGTAGTTTGTAATTGAAAGTTCACAACTTTCAAGAAAGGCAGTTGTGAACTTTCAAGAAGGTTCACAACTTGCTTTCTTGGAAGTTGTGAACTTTGCCGCTCACAACCGCTCACAATGAGTTGTGAACTCAGTATGTAGTTTGTAAATTCTTGAAAGTTCACAACTTTCTGCATAGGTAGTTGTGAACTTTCATCAAAGTTCACCAATTGCTTCGTAGGTAGTTGTGAACTTTCTGCATAGGTAGTTGTGAAGTTTCAAGAAAGTTCACAACTTGGTTCATAGGTAGTTGTGAACTTTCAAGTAACTTCACAACTATCTATGCGGAAATTTCTTAGCAAATTGTGAACTTTCAATATCTTCACTTTCAGTTGGGTACCCCCTTTGGAAGTTCACAATTGTGAACCTCCAAATCAAACTGATAATCTCATCTCAAACTCAAAACTCAAAGCGGCTCACAACCGCTCACAATGAGTGGCTCACAATGAGTTGTGAACTCAGTATGTAGTTTGTAATGTGAACTGCTCATATTGAAAGATCACATCTGACTTTATTCACAGATCGCTTTGTTTGGTGAACTTATCATGTATTCATGGAATCGTTTGTGATGGATATATTTAGTTCAAGATGAATTGGGGACTACTCAGATGGCAAAAATAGCATGGTGAGCTACTTGGAGCTAATGATTCATTCTAGTATAGTATTCTTTCTATTGGTCTCCACCAATAAGTCCAGATTAAATAGGGAACTAGGATCGAACAATTGGATTATAAGCTGAAAGAAACAAAAGTATAATAGAATGGGATCAAAGTAAAAGTAGTAGAATAGATTGGGATCTTTTTGATATAATGTAATATGTTCTTGATATAAGATCAATGAAATGCAACTGAGGTAAATCTAGAAATCATTTCGCCATATGCCTAACTTGATAGCCAATTTCTTCATCTTGAGATGAGCTTGTTCCGCATAACCAGTCAAAACCCTTGCTTGATATGCTTGTCCTTCGCTTTCACTCATCGCCTCTTGCTGGATTTTGACTTTCTCAAGGCGGTTGACCAATGCCTGGGAGATTTGACAAGAGCAACCGAAACGTGTGATTTCGGCCGACTCTGGTTGGACTTGTTCCTTCAATGCATTGTAAGTTTTGGAGCGCGAAGTGTGATGATGGACTTGAGAGTTCCACAACATTTCAACTACTCCATCGGAAGAATCCAAATCGACCTCTAGGTTGTAGTCATCAAGCACGAAGCGAGCCCCAATACAGTTCCCTCGTGAAGCTGTATCACCTCGCAAGTATAGCTCACCCGTACCCCGGTTGATTAAAGTAAACAAACCAAAGGCATATTTGGATGCATCTTTATCTTTGTGTTTTTTATTGGTAAATTCATCAAAGGTAACTACAATGTTCGAGCCAAAGACCTTGGAGTTGGGTGAAACATAGAAGGATTCGCTTGCCCAAGAAGGGGCATTCGTTCGACTGGCAAGGGCAGCATTAGACTCGAAGGCGTATAAGGAAAGGCCACTGAATCTCTCAGCGAAGAAGGATTCGATAGCGGGCAGGTTACCCTGTCTTTTCAGGTCGGCCTCCATCTTCCAGAGGTCATTTGCAGTCGTGGCATTCCAAGTATAGTGACCTAAGGAAAAGTCATGTGAGTGATGTTCTTTTATTCTTAATCTTGGGTCAGCCAGACTGACCTCCTTTGACCTCCGTATCATAACCAGGACGAAAACCGGCAGCAAACATTCGACCATATTTGCGACCGAGTCTCCTTGCCCGGTAGGTAGCTCCATTATTTTTCACTTCGCCTCTAGCTTTGGCATGCTGGTAGATCGTGCTGATTGAATGATTATAAGCATTGTAAATCTCCTCGGAGACACTCCCCTTCTCTACAAATCGTACAACCAGCAGTAGCTCAGATGTATCATAATCAAGACAAACAACTGTGCCATATGTTAAACTGAAGCGAGGCTTCCCATAACTTCGTCCCTTCCGAAAAAACAGGAACTTCGAGTCCATGGGGAGACCGTAGAGACTGATGAGATTGGCCTTTTGAATAGCTCGTTGATTGGGTGGAGGTTTGGATGGACGTTCAAGGTGCTTCTGGAGTGATCGATTAAGACGGGATTGTAGGGTAGCTGGTGACTTGTACTTGGGCATGGTAAAGATGGAGAACTTGATGAAGTGTGAAAAATATGATGAATACGAATGGGATGTTTGAATAATACTGAATGATTACGATGAGATAAAACAATTGAAGAGGGGTTCGAAAAGCTGATAGAATGAGACTAGGATACTATAAGATCACTGGAAGAATATCTTTGATATGTTGCAGTCGATTCCAATAAGGCGATAGAAATTAACCACCACTTCCTCCTATTAACAACTCAGGCTAACAATCTTATTAGACTCCCTTTCTAGCTTCTGAATTATGCGTCGCGATGATCCAAGGTCCGAAGCATGCAAAGGAAGTCTTATAAGGTGTTCACTGGTCAGAAGATAGAAAGGTAGTTATTCACCAAAGCCAAATCGATGGAATGATATGTGGGATGGATATTTTGCGATCGAACCCTGGGGAATATATGTATTTCGAAGAGACATAACCGTGTGTCTTTTGGTCATTCAATCAAAAGTTCTGTTTCCTTTTCCTACAAAGTCCACATTCTGAATTGAATTGCCTAGACGAAATTTCTCACCCGTATATCATTTTCCTATTATAGTATAGGACACACCCTGAATACTTAATAGGACTATATATCTATATAGTACAGGATACTCTCACAAGTTCTCACAAGTGTTTGTGAGAGTATTGATTCCATCACCCAATTGATTCCATCATGAGAGTATTGATTCCATCACCCAACCTGTATGACAATAGGATCGAAAGCGATACCATTAGTATTTAAACACGAAATGGTTTGGAAGGGGTTTTGAACCACCCCTTCCGAACCATTTCGTGTTTCCACTTCCGTCGAAGTGATACTGATGCTGAAACCTGAAGCTCAATTGCCATTGAGCGCTGTACTTCGGACAGTCGGAATTGTATTGGACAGCTGTCAGAGTCTCTCAAGGGACTCCCAAATGAAACTGGAGCAACCAACCCAGAGTTAACCCCTTCTGCGATTGGCATCCTGGAATTTCCACCATACATATATATTGGAAAGTATTTTGTTGAACTCTGGTTTCACATTGATCATCTTTAATGTCCTGAATGATTTATCAAGGTCAACTATTATTTCGTATCTACAGGGGTAGATACATTATTCACATGTTCAACATATGTAGAGTAATACTCAAGATACAATATTGTCATGTTCAACACGTGTAGAATAATACTCATTTTGATCAACCAGGATGAAAAGTTCTGGTTGATACACAAAACCTTTGCTCATAGGAGGGTTGGTTGCAGTGGTAGTTGAGACAGAGACCATTAGCTCTTTAAATATTTGCAATATTTAAGCTAAATAAAAATATTATGATAAGCATGAACTAATTGTTGCGGTATATATATGCTCACTTGAATTAAAGACTTCATTTGGTCAAAACTTGGGCAGAGATATCATTTGATCATTTTGTAAGATTTTTCAGCGATGGGTACATCACCCCCATGAACCCAGAAGTGCTTTGGCATGAGGTTTGAAAGAGTTACTAAGATATATGTGCTAATTGCAGGGGTAAGTGCTTCCAACTGCAAATTTTTAAGATGTGGAAAATTTGCAGTTGGAAGCACTTACCTGAGTGTGGTACCAGGGTTAATTGGCCCCAGAAACATTTCTCAACACTCAGATCTACAATATGATGAGTGTGGACAAAGATATTTACAAATATGTGCTATTTGTTAATATAAGTGTGTACAACTTATATTAACAACAGGTGTACAACACTTGGTCAAGAATATCACTTGACCACATTGAACATGGTGATGTCCCAGTGGTAATAACCCCCCAGGAACATCGATCAACACTCAGAACTACAATATGATGAGTGTGGACAAAGATATTTACAAATATGTGCTATTTGTTAATATAAGTGTGTACAACTTATATTAACAACAGGTGTACAACACTTGGTCAAGAATATCACTTGACCACATTGAACATGGTGATGTCCCAGTGGTAATAACCCCCCAGGAACATCTATCAACACTCAGAAGTCCAATATGATGAGTGTGGAAAAAGATATTAACAAATATGTGCTATTTGCACATATAAGTGTGTACTTTAGTCAAATACTACACTTGTACAAGACTTGGTCAATAAGGTCACTTGAGCACATTGAAAATGGTGATGTCCCAGGGGTAATAACCCCCCAGGAATATTTATCAACACTCAGAACTCCAATATGATGAGTGTGGAAAAAGATATTAACAAATATGTGCTATTTGCACATATAAGTGTGTTCTTTAGTCAAATACTACACGTGTACATCACTTGGTCAATAAGGTCACTTGAGCACATTGAAAATGGTGATCTCCCAGGGGTAATAACCCCCCAGGAATATTTATCAACACTCAGAACTCCAATATGATGAGTGTGGAAAAAGACATGAACAAATATGTGCTATTTGCACATATAAGTGTGTACTTTAGTCAAATACTACACTTGTACAACACTTGGTCAATAAGGTCACTTGAGCACATTGAAAATGGTGATCTCCCAGGGGTAATAACCCCCCAGGAACATTTATCAACACTCAGAACTCCAATATGATGAGTGTGGAAAAAGATATTAATAAGTATGTGCTATTTGCAAATATAAGTGTGTACTTGAGTCAAATACTACACTTGTACAACATTTGGTCAATAAGGTCACTTGAGCCCATTGAAAATGGTGATCTCCCAGGGGTAATAACCCCCCAGGAACATTTATCAACACTCAGAACTCCAATATGATGAGTGTGGAAAAAGATATTAACAAATATGTGCTATTTGCAAATATAAGTGTGTACTTGAGTATTCAACTCAAGTAACACTGACTTGATCAAGAATATCACTTGAACAAATATTATAAAAGTGTGGTCCCAGGTTACATTGACACCTAGTTACATTTATCAACACTCAGAAGTCCAATTTGAAGAGTGTTGAAAAAGACATTAAGGAAAAAGAAATGCTATTTGCACGGGTCTGTCTGCATTTGAGTCAAATACTACACAAGAACTATAACCTGTACATTAGACCACATTGAACACAATTAGACCACATTGAACACATGACTGTAGTTCAATGTTTTCAATTACAATTAATTGTAAGACCTATGATTGAAATTGAGACTGGTAAGAACCTAGTCTCTCAATCACAATCAATTCTAACACGTATGATTTTAATTGAGACTGTCCACTTTGGGCTCCATACTATGGGGCCCAGTTTTTACTCTTATAAATTTAATAGAGACTGTGCACTATGGGAGCCTTCATAGTATGGGTGTTTGCCTCGTTGAGACATAAAGTGGGCAAATTAGTCCATTAGTCTGAAAACACTGGGTGGACCCCTGCGCTGGCCCGTGCCAACTGATTATTGCCATTCTTGTTTATTTTCCCAGATTGGAACAACATCTTGCCATATGAGATCATCATATCGTAGTTTGGAGAATCATTTACCTTTCAAAGAAAAGGAGGTGGTGATAGTACAGTGATCTCACTATGGGTAATTATTTGATCTGTAGTCACAGGTGAAGCAGACCAATAGTTCACCTGTATGACTGGACTCAAATCGAAGCCCAATGGGGTACAATCACAATGTGACAGTACGCAATCAATAGAGGATTAGAAATACTGCACTCAATTTGAAGACCAATTGGGTACTGTCACCTACTGTCACCATCTGACAGCACCCAATTGATCATATCAAATTGATATCTTCACACTAATGAGAAATATTGACGAATTGGGCATATGAGCCTAAAATCATTACCGTCTGAAGTGCTTTGGACTCTGGTTAACCCAGATGAGTAATTTTGGACTCCGACAATTACAAACCGCCCTCAAATACCTTTTTACTTCAGACAACTCACTCGTTCAAGTCATCCAGCCATGGGTGGAAGAAAAGGGAGATCTATAGGATGTCCTTTAGGTCCTTCTTCCAAAAAAAGAAGACAACCAGAGCCACAAGGTTCCAGCCAGATCATTGCAGATTTGGATGCCAGCGAGGCACGTTGGGTCGACCAGCAGTCTCAACGCTTGAACAACCGACCAGTGGCGCCTAACACTGCAATGCAACATGAACAACTACAGCCTTCAACTTCCGACCAAGTCGAACATGCTTTTGAATGGGACCAGATTTCCGATATCAATCCAGAGGAAGAATATCTCATCAATCACAATATCCCAGACGACCCCACTGAAGAGCCACCTGAAGTTACTAACTTTGGTGACTACGTGAAAGGATCATCATACAAACGAAAACAAATCAAAGAGGCCAGGAATTGGGCCAAGGTCTTTGGGCCAATGTTCCTCGAATTCATGGTAGGTTCCAAGCGCACCACTCAATGGGGGCTAGAAACCTGGAACCAGGATTATAACAAGTCTTGTGCTTGTGGACCTGGGAAACATCGAATGAGAAAAGTAGACATGGTGGACCATACAAGTAATCTCGAATTTCATTGCACCATTTCCTTGCTTATTTATACCACTCATGCTGACTTTGAACAGCTCGTATGCAGCAGACAATTGAATTTTGTGACTGTATCCCAGACCAAGTGAGGCTGATACGGATGGGATACATTGGAGGATCTCCAATTCATCCGGAAACTGCTTTTTCAATCAGGCTCTTGAGGCTTCACCATAGTCTATGGAAATATTGCTCACTTCGAACTCAGGGCTTCTCACTTGGCCTTGATGAGTTCTTGGATTCAGCCAACCCACTCATTTTGGTCGCCAGTTCAAGTGAGGTAAGTCATTTTCCTGTCATTCATTAAAAGTTTATTAATCCTTTTAACTATCAATACCCATCACATCAGCCTCGAAGGTGGAGACGCCCTTTATCATTAGCTATAGATGCATACAGACAAATGGTTCGATACGAGGAAGAGTTGACAATACGTGCACTAGGACTTACAACCATGGAGAGGCTGGCCATGAATTGCCCCCGGTGTTTTGGACCTCTTCAAGATAACCCTGAGCCTGATGAGCCGGACTATATAGTATGTGTTGACGGCAACTTTCAGCATCGGAGACACAAGGCTGCAAGCCGGGAGTATGAAGAAGTGGGCATCAGGATTCCACCTCTATTCATTAAACCCGAGAAAGTTGAAGAATGGGAGCCAGTTAAGAATAAACATGTCATCCAAAATAACGTATGTTTCTTCTGAGATGAGACGTTTGCAGCTCCACCTCTGATTTCCCAGCTGAAATCAGTGGAGTTCCTCAGGACCGATGCTCTGTGCAGCACACTGCAGCTGCAGATCAGCGAGGTGGCTCAACATGGAAAGCAGCCGATGAGACTGGCCTAATTGGGATGGCCTGTCGACATGATCATGTCCTGAGTTTTGTTAATGTTGTTCAGAGTGGCGAACGGTGAGTTTCTGTTCAGATTTCACACTTCCAGCGCCTGATGAATATTGATGAAAAACTCAATCCAGGCAATACTACATACTATCTATGATTGATAAACTGTTGCACGAGACGGCTGAGCCAGGGAAACCTAGGAAAAGGGTTGGTATTTTGTATGATATTGGGTGTACTTTGGAAAAAAGCATCATGAAGGTACTGAGTATATCTTTGAACCAATTTCGAGTGGCCACTAATGTTTGCCACAATTCAGAATAAGATCTTTCAAGCCCAATGTGCAGAACGAGGCCTGAAGTTTGGAACCAGTGCGTTTCATGCCTTTGTTCATGAGTGGGGTTGTCAGCTGCGTTACAATCCCCGTATGAACAAAGGCTGGGGACGTTCAGATGGGGAAGGTTTGGAAAGAATATGGTCATACCTATCTCCTCTCGTTAGCCCACTGCGATATTCGACAAAGCAGCATCGGCTGGATGCTCTGCATTTAAAAGCGACTCATCGAAATGAAGTCACACGCACCAATGCAGGTGAGAAAGCTTTGTTTGCAATGACCTTAACACATCTGGAGTGAGCTGATTTGGTTTTGGTATCAGTGCGAGCATCTTGGATTAAAGTTAAAGAATCCGAGCAACTTCTCAACCAAGCGAACAACAAACTGAATGAACTTGAAGTAGAAAAACCTATCTACACATGTGAGTATTTTGCTGGGCAATGGGAGCGACAAAAGACGTGCCAGCTTGAAGCTATGTCGAATATCACTTTAAAAAAGTTAGAGGAAAAGCTGGTTGAGCTACTTGACCAAGAAGAAAAGTTGAAAGAAGCTCAGTGAGTTTCCAATTTCAGGCAGTGTGAACATGAGAAACTGACAGTGGTAATGCATATTAGCACTGAACTTAAACGCCTACAGCGCAAAACTCGTAGAAATTGGACAGACAATGATGTGTTAGAGATGAGCACGCTCCCCGCTTCGATTGTGGTGATGGAGACTGCTGCCCAGAAAATGCGTGCAGAGTTAGGTGATCCAGAATTCCGGCGAATTAAACAGAACACAAGTAGGTCATTTGAACTTTGATGCAATCAAACAAGGGATATATTAATAATATGTGGTTTGATTTCATAGCGGACAAAGGGAAGGCCCTAATTCGAGTTAGGCTGGCCAAGACGAAACTTTATGAGGCCAAAGTAGGCATTGTGGAGGCTCAGAAACGGTGGGACAAATGCGGTTTGGGTGCATGGCACTTCCATCAACCAAACCAATATATATCTGTTGACTCCTGGTTTGACGAACACTAGGTACATCCGTCCAGCAGAGCTTGAAGACTATGATGACGAAAAAACAACTCCAGTTCAGGCGGAAATGGACCACTTATAATGAACAAGCCACCCTGTATAATGACATCCGACCAGTCAGCAATCTCCCATGTCCAACTTTGGAGGAGGCGAAGGCACTGCCCTTTGAGGATTGTTTTTGGAATGTAGGCGCTCTATCTCATCCTTTGGAGATGTGGGCTAATGATCCAGGCACAAAGGATGGTATTCAAGCCTACTTGCTGCAAAGGAGCTGTAAGGAAGAGCTTCGTCGTCTAGGTCGTGAATCACAGCAAATGACCCTTGCCGCGCTAAGAACAGAGGAGCAGATGCAAGATCTGCTAAGGGTATGTAATAGTGGTACGTACTCTACTATCAAATGTCTGACAAAACATGAATATTTCTTGACCTTTCTTACGTCTCTTTCGGCAGAGTGGGAACCTGAGCATGGTGGGAAGGCCCTGATTGAAATGATCCAACCCGGGCAGCGAATATCCAAAGACATCTGGGAAGATTGTATCGATGTTTTGAAGGCATTTCACAAGAATACGCTTCAACATCTTTGCCGAACATGGATGTCCTGGAGCTCATCGTTGGTTTGCCTCCTAAGGTACACCATCAAGTACACTCCAGTTGATAGAGATTCTTTGGAAACAATAGTTATTCGTTGGCTAGGACTCATTGAGAGGACTAAAACGACTTGGTCAGAGCTTGTCAAGCTCAAAAGTTATGAAACTTCGGCTCTCGATGAACTGGATATCACTGAGCAGAATTTTCTGATTGGAGAGGATGTTGGGGAAGAACATGATATGTTGCTTGAACCTGATGATATTGAAGATGAAGATTTTATATGACTCCACGTAATGAAATTACTCCACAAATCAACCTGCAAATGGTTATGAGCTTTGATCTAGGATTCACTGGGTAATATCAAGTGGTGAGCCAATTATTTACTTCACAACAATGCCTTTTAAAGTGAAGATGCATGTGTGAACTTGAGATCTAGTTCACAAGTGTTTGTGAAGTAGAACTATATCTGGGAAGGCATTGTGAACGAGACCCAGTTAGTTCACAAAGAGGTGTGAAGTGGATCTCAAGTTCACCAAACCAGATCACAAAAGTTTGTGAACTTCAAGGTCATGATGCATCAGAGATCTAGTTCACAATCATTTGTGAAGTAGACATCATCTGGGAAGGCTTTGTGAACTAGGGAGCCAGTTAGTTCACAAAGCGGTGTGAAGTGGATCTCAACTTCACCATTCCAGTTCACAAAAGTTTGTGAGATTCAAGGTCAGGATGCATTGGAGAACTAGTTCACAATCATTTGTGAAGTAGATATCCGTGAACTAACCGGGATAATTGTGAACCAGCGACCCGGTGTGTTCACCAAGAGGTGTGAGCTAGATCTGTAGTTCACCGAACCAGTTCACAAATGTTTGTGAACTAGATCTCAAGGTCATGAGTGAACAGAGATCTAGTTCACAAACATCTGTGAACTAGATATCCGTCAATTGGATCATTGTGAAGTTCAGATTGTGAAATTCACTTTCAGACTCAGTGATCCAGTTCAGCAAACCATCAGTGGTGAACTACATTTCAACTTCACAAATACTCTGTGAACCAGTTCGCATTTCATGGTTCACAAGATGTTGTGAGCTAGATCTCACTAGATAACCAGGTCACAATTTATAATGTACCAAGTTCAGACCTTTTTGTGAGCAGGACTTTGTGAAACTACTTATGATCATTCGACCGAATTCTACTCAACTTTAAATTTTTGATGATGAGAAAGTTCACAAGGACTTTTTAACTTGTGATTTACAATTGTGAGCTATGAAACCTGAGAATCTGAATTGTGAAGTTGAGCAGCAGTTCACACAATCTATTGTGAACTTGAGATGTCATGAGAGTTTTGTGAGGTAGAAGAGTTCACAAAATAATGATTTTTCGATGTTTCGATGTGGACATGTATGTGAACCGGCTTACCCATGTAAACTCCGAATGAGAGGAGGGTATTTCACAAGTCACTCATGTCTCTATCGATTTAAAGGCCACCCGTTCCGCCCCATCCCAGTTTGGTCACATACACAAACCTCATTCATCTTCACAAAACTTTATTCATCTCTTCTGTCATATCTCATATCATGTCGCGCACCACTCGTTCTGGTGCTAGAGTATCACCACCTCCCAAGGCAAGCTCAGGAACTCGAGTGGTGCGAGGCAATAAGTCCAAAGCTCTAGCAGGTCCAAGTAGGAGACCAACTAGAAAATCCAATCGAAGTACAAGTCACTCTTCCCGCAAAAAGAAGGCTCCTGTTCTCGAGACCGATCCGGTCGAGGTCGATAGTCAAAGTGAAGATGATTTACCGGATGATGAGGATATTTACAAAGAGTTGGAATCAGAGGATGAAGAATCCGATACTGCGGACGACTCCGACAATGAAGTTATTGAAGCCTTGGCCAGAAGGCAACCGAAATCCAAAAAACACACCCGAACTGGAAGGAGCAATGCCAGAAGAGTCCCTCTGGATGAATCTCATGACGCCTCCCTTGCTAATGCTGAAGATGACCCGGACGACTTCACTAGACGCCTTGAAGCCCAGTTTGCCAAGAGCCCAACCAATCGACTGGAAAACCTGGATGTTGATGACGAGGTGCATGATAATTCAGTCCTGCCAACGGTTGAAAATTATAAAGGCCTAGTGAAGGAGTGGACAAGAAAGCGTATTACATCAGTTCAGGATTTGCAGAAAAAGGTGACCTCAGTTCCCCCCCATATCCTAACTGAAGCAAAAGCCATCAAGAAACTTTATAAACATCACAAGAGGATGCTGGCGATGATGGGTAACATCACGACATATACCTTGGATAAAGCTTTGTAAATGATTTTTTTTTTCCGTAGTTGGACCAAACTGATATACGGTTATACGGTTAAAATCATTCATTTAGGGGCGAGCTCGGAGGTACTCGGTTTCCTGATGCATATCGTCTTTGGTTGAAATTTTCCATTGAGGCTCGAAAACTGAAAAGTTAGTACATGTATTTATTTAGCAATATACTGTTTGATGCTGATCTTGTTTTTGCTACAATGGAATGGCAGTGCCCCGCAAATACCAGGCTGGAAAGGCATTAGGACAACGAAACCGTAAGCTTGGTGCTGCCTGGAAAGCCCTGTCGGTGAATCAAAAGCGTGTGTTTCACCCGCGGGTCTTCTACACCTTGTCTGGCCTTCCTGCGCCAACTAGCGACTTCGACACTGATGATGAAGAAAATGGACCAACCGACTTGTCTCCTGACGAACGTGAGGAGCTTCAAGGGATATATGATGAGTCTGTGTGTTCTTCAAAGGTTCGCCAGGTGTATGCAAAGGCATCGAGTGGTATAACGGAAGGGTGAACAGTTCCCAAGTACAATCAACTATCATTGAAGTGCGTTGAGAAGCTGCATAATCAGGTACGTGTTGTGTAATGTTTGTTATTGTATTATATGTTATTCTATTATATCAAGCAAGTTCAGTTCTCATTTTCTTGCTTCCTACCCTACAAGATTGAAAACGAGGCAAATCGTATGGACTTTGGGTACTATTTCCTTGCTTCTAGTACCCATCCTGCTACTGGAGGTGATTCTGCGGATCCAGGGTGGTGTAAGGAGTTTACGTCGAATGAAGAGTTGGCAGATTACGTGCGTATGAAGAGCAATTTCCCGACTATATTTGCTGCACAGACCCAAGGTATTTCCGTCGACAAAGTCATTGCTAGTGCAATTGGGAAAACAGAAAAAATGAAAATGAACTGTAAGCGTGTGGACCCTGGTGATAAGGTGAAGAGTGACTTGGCAGCATTGTTGAAATCTGATTTAGGTGAGTGGGGTGATTAACATTTCCTATGATGATGACTAACTATAACATTATTCTGCAGGGAAAGTGTTAAAATTTGTCCCACCAGGGTTTCCTCGTGGACCGGACCCAGGGAAGCTTTTGTTGGATAAGGGATGGAAGGTGAAGATCAAGCAGTTGCCTGGCTCTAGCCTACCCCCCGAAGTGTTGAAATTAGGCTTTAATGCAATGAACAGTCGCCGGTCGCTCTGGTTGAATGATCTCCAGGCTGGCCTATTTCGATTCGAGAAGATTCCCGAGGACGAGGATGATGATTTGGATTACATGGTCACTGATCATCAGGAGGAACCATTGGAAAAAGATGAAGAGCTCACGGTTGGAATTGAGGAGGAACTAGAGTGGAATGGAATTGGTGAAGATGAGACTTATGAGGCTTAAATGTTTTTTCCTGCTCTCATCACTTTGGTTTTTTGGCTTTCTTGCCCAGTTTCTCTCTTTCTCAGGCTGCTCACTTTGGATCTTAGCGCTTTTCTTGTTACTTTAATGAGGGATCAAATTTATATGAAATGTGTCACAAGTATTATTTTGATAGTTGTGCAACTAAAGTGAGTACCATGTGTAAATGGTATCAGGTCTTACAAGTAAGTCTCTAAATTTCTCTATACTACATGGGGTAATGCATACCTGCAATCTAGAATTTAGAAATATATCAATCGTTTCACCAATGAAGATTGATCATTCAGGGATTCTCGATCAGTTGTTGATGGATTGTGGAAGCCTTTATAACCAAGATAGATACTAAAGGCGTTCTCTTTCTCTTGGATGTTATATTTCTTCATATCGAAGATTGGATCAATCAATGGGAAATTCGAGGTTCTTTTGAGGTGATCAAATTGTTGAGTTGTGAATCTGGAGTTATATGAATGAAGGTGGTGAAGTAATCTTGACTAGTGTGAACAGTTGACTTTTGGGTGTGAACTGGTAACTTGGAGTGAGCGAGTGGGTGTTCTCGAGTTTTGTTGTGAACTGTTAACTGTTGAGTGTGAACTAACTCAAGTGAGTGAGTGAGTGAGTGGGTGTTCTCGAGTTTTGTTGTGAACTGTTCCTGTAGGTGTGAACTGTGGGGTTGAGTGTGAACTGTTAACTGTTGAGTGTGAACTAACTCAAGTGAGTGAGTGAGTGGGTGTTCTTGAGTTTTGTTGTGAACTGTTCCTGTAGGTGTGAACTGTTGGGTTGAGTGTGAACTGTTAACTGTTGAGTGTGAACTAACTCAAGTGAGTGAGTGTGTGGGTGTTCTCGAGTTTTGTTGTGAACTGTGCCTGATAGGTGTGAACTGGTAACTTGGGTGAGTGAGCAAGTTGGTGTTGTCGAGTTTTGATTGATTGTGAACTGTTCCTGGTAGGTGTGAACTGTTGACTGTGGTGTGTGAGCTGCACGGTCAACTTGGTCTCTGGTTATGAAAGCAGGTGAACTTGTGAAGTTCATGTGAGGTGTATGGACTTGGAGGGAAAACAGTGGTGTCGGACGCGTCTGAGGAGAAAACTTGCCCAAAAAACCTTGAAAAAATCTGGCGCCCGACTAGTCGGACGCGTCGGCGATTTTTATAGGGAACATCGGCTTTTATCCAATCAAAATGTCTCATTTTCTTTCGAATACTAGTCGTGAAGTCTAGGCGCTAGAGGTGGAAAACTGCCACAGCGGTTGTTATCCGTCAAAGTCTGCAACAAGATTAAACAGTACACTGTTTCTGATGTTTTTAATCAATCCCAGTCACATGAGAATTTATCAGCGATTTGTTTTGGTTTTTAGAATTGAATCTATCTTTTCATCTTGTGACAACTTGTCCTTTGCTCTGTGGCCGTCCTCCCTGGTTTTGTTCCTGTGTGTATGATCAAAAATGCACAAATATTTTAGTATTACAAATAGGGCAGTGTTTGGGGTATGAATTCAGAAAGATGTACAGTCCCCTGCCAAAATTATATGTGATTTCAAATTTTGCACCTTGCCTCCACATCACTACACATACAAAAGAAATAAAGTACACAACTCAAAGTACTACATAAAGCAAAAAATTGTCCTGATTGAGTCTATGGCTTGCAGCTATATACACCAGCCTGAATGAAAAACATTGATAAACTGTAAACTCACTGGGTATGAAAGGGAGGTCTCACCAATGAGTTGGGCCGCCTTTGTTTTTGATGAATTCATTGATTCCCTCGGGCATAGATGCGGCCAAAGATTTTAGTGTTGTGTTAGGGATGGCCCACCATTGCTTGACAATTGCTGAGATCATTTCTTCGCGTGATCGAGGCTTTTTCTTCTTGGAAACTTTGTCTTTGAGGATCTTCCAGAGATTTTCAATCGGGTTGAGATCAGGACTATTAGCCGGCAAGTCAAGCTTGAGCAGAGAGTGTTGGTCCCGCCAGTTTGCCTTTTTACTCTGATGCACCGGAGCTCCATCCTCCATAAGTATGAGGTTTGTCGGACAATTGGGACTGCTGATTAATTCTGAAAGACACTTTTCATAGACTAATTCAACATAGTCCGATGAAAGAGTACAACTGGGAGGCATCACAATGATTAGAAGTCGAAAATTTGCAGTGAATGCACTGCATAGCATCACAGATGTTCAACCGCTTTGAAAAGTGGGGACCAGGCAGTCAACAAGGTACTTTTCATATGGCATTCTCCAGACTAAAACTTGTCTGGAGTTCTTCCCAATTTCAAAGTAGCATTTGTCTGTCCAAATTACCCTACTCCTGTAAGGGTAGTGGCTCTTTGAAAGGAGGCTACACTCACTAAATGGTGGTATTGGGACTATTTGTGTGGTGAAGTATAATAAATATTATTATATTTCAGAGTATAACTAGTTACAAGGGTAGAGGAAGAAGAGAGAGATAATAAGAGAGATGATATGAGTATGAGAGGAGTAGTAGAAGGTTGAAAAACTAAGAGTCTGCTAGGACAAATCCTGGCAGACTACAGTTAGTTGACTCTTAAAGAAGAGTTTTGATTTACAATTGAGTAAGGGATGAGAACAGGATCCCAATGTTCTCCAATATCCTTCTTGGTAATTGGATAAAGAGTGATTATGAAGATCACTATCTTGGTTATCTCTTAGAGGTCACCAACCTGTTTGGTTATTATCTTGGAGGTCACCAACCTATTGGTTATTATCTCAGAGGTCACCAACCTAGTATAGAAACTACTTAGGGGAGGTAGAGGATCCAGAAGGGAAGTATATAACTTACTTGGATCTAGTCTGGAATAATCAAGGTAGTATAGAATTTCAATGAATCACTAGTATTACTATTTGTAATACTCTTGATTTTTATTCTATTGGAACTCTTGATGGTTCTTTAGAAATAGGTATGTATAAACTGGTTTTTCTTTGGGGATGAAGCAGGTTCTGGTTTATATATTCTAGCTTTTAAACCTAGTATTGTGATATACACAATGTTTACAATATTAGGTTTGTATTTAATATTTTAATGTTTTTATGATTACGTACACTTAATGTTATGTTATGTAATCATTAAGTGTTTCATATAAGATAAGCCTGTTTTAACTCTTGATATTGAGTTATGAGATGTTACTAGTGTTTTTGTATGTAATTTTATATGTTACATGTTATTTCTTGGGTATATGCATATGTAACTAGAGGTCATATATGTTTTTCTTAAATGTTACATATATATTATAGGCTGTATGTACATGTAATTATATTTCTAGGTGATGGCTATATATCATAGGTTAGCATTTGGGTACATGTGTATGTACTCAGGGCTGACAACTCCAGTCTTCAACAGTGAAGTGTTTGTACTTTTTAGCATATTCTAGACGTCTCTGTTTGTGTATGTCATTGAGAGCTGGCTTCTTTACTGCTACACATGCACGCATACCCAATTTGTGGATCTCCCTCTGAACAGTTTGTGAGCTGACGTTGGTAGGAATTAGCTAAGTGATTTCCAATACTGTAGCCCTTCTATTTTTCTTGAGAATTTGCTTCAGACATTGTTCATCGCGTTTGGTGAATTTTTGAGGTCGTCCAGCGTGGTTTTCACTAGTTATGGTGCCAGCATTCTTAAACTTTGCTATCACGGTATATACAGTTGATGGTGGGTAGCCTAGTTTGGTTGCAGTTTCCATGCCTTGGAGACCTCCTTTGTGCAATCCAATAATTCTAGCCTTCTCTTCGGATGTCAAAGATCATGTCTTCATATTGTGTTGGAGAGATGAGGTGTGGTGGTTGGGAGAAACAGTGGTTCAAGAACAGCAGTTCTCTGAGCTCAGGCAGAAATACCTTAAAGTATACGTAAATTTGGCAGGGGACTGTACAGTGGGTAAACCCAAGTACGTGTTCCAACTTGCCCTGCGAAATCCAAATTTTACCTTTTGGGTCAAAGACGGGGCACTGAATATGAATGTTTGGGACTGGGACCCAAACCAGTGAAAAGACAATACATGCATGAATCTGAAAATATGATACTGAAGACAAGAAATATTGTTTTATTTTTTTAGGGTCTCAGATTTTTGGACCTGAGCCTTATGTACTTAGCTAGGTCCTAGGCTCATAGCTAGTTGTTTAGGCTTATACTGGGAGGTAGCTAAGCACTACACACAGCCAGGACCCAGGAATGCCCCTATAAAGGGTAGTGATCTGGATAAGTGCTTTTACAGTACCCGCGGCGTTACCATTCATGGGATACGAGCAGCTCTGATCATTTCTGCCCAATTATAATTTTGATTATTGCCATCCTCTTAAACCTGTGACATCTTGGGTTGAGTGTCAGTGCGTGAGGCCAGTGACAAGCTTGATCAAGCTAGCTTGAAGAGAGACCAGGATTGTCGGAAATGCAAAGAAATATTTATATCGTTTATCAAATATTCTTATTGCTTCGATTCTTATCGCTTCCATCAAACCTTGCTGATGCCTTCAAGCGCCGCCGCCAAAGAGAATTTCTTCACCCTTTTTAGATATGTTGTTGCAATCTAAATCACTTGTGTAGTTTCAAATGTCAGACCGGAGGGTTCGTTCAGATTTGGAGTTGTCAAAGGAGGTGAAAGGCTCCAAAAAAGTCTGTGTAAAGATTAAACTGTTCTTACAGCTATGGGTGAAGCCAGGTTTAGACCTGGAAAGACTTGGTGTTTTTGCAGGACCGGAGTTCCGAGGGTACTGTAAAAGCACTTATCCAGATCACTACCCTTTATAGGGGCATTCCTGGGTCCTACACAGCCCCCAATCACAAGTCACTGGCAGGCCAGTGCCTCCCACCGACCCTAGTAAGTTATGAGAAAGTTATGAGAAAGTTATGAAATGGATATCAAATGGATAACATCCATTGATTGAGAATTTGTTGAGAAGTGGTTGGGAGACCACCAAAATTGAGATGATGTCATACAGCATCATAAACCTGTACAAACCTGCTCCTGTATTT